ACAAACAGCTTTCACCTGTGTTTGCCCATTAATAATAAAAAAAACAGCGGGACAAAGTGGTAATGGCACAGTAACCCATCCTTTGTTTGCCTGTCCTTTTCAAGATTTGCCCATAAATAATATAAAAGGACATGGGATGGGCAGTAATGACGCAGCAACCTGTCCCTTTTTCACCCGTCCTTTTCAAGATTTCCCCAATGAATAATAGAAAAGGATGGGAAATGGGTTGCTGTGCCTTGACCTGCACCACACCCATCCCTCATAATTGCCCGTCCTTTTTTAATTATTTTGAAAAACACCCGTACCATTGCCCATCCTTTTCTAGTATTAAAGGGCCAAACGTGAAAAGGACGGGGGATGGGTTCAAGCCACACTTGTCCGTCTCCCATCCTTTTCCAGCATCCTGAATAAATTGAATTTTTTTAGTGTTAGCATGAATAGATAAAAATAATGAGTCTTTTTATACTACTCAAATATTAGATAAAATTATAAAATTATTATTTGAATAGTATTTTATGTTGTTATGGTATGATTGATATAACAGTCCAAATTTAGTTGGTACAATTCAATAAAATGCTGGTATGATTAAAAAATGTACCAGAACCATTGTACTGTATTATACTAACAAAATTTATAATAACAGATATATAATTGACTCAAAGAATTTGCACAGTAATCATATCAAATTTAACATCAACATAAATGTTTACTACAGTGAACCCTTGTTCCAACGAACCTTGTTTCAATGAAGTATAATTAAATTTTTGATACAACGAATTTTTAAAAACATTGTTACACATTATGAAAACATATAAAAATTCGTTGAAACGCGATTAGTAACCTTGTTTCAACGAATGTTGAATAAAATTTTCTTATATGCCCAGCCACTTCGTTGAAACAAGGGCAGACTGTAATAAGATTTATATAGGATTATTTACATTGTATATATTCAGATGAAATGGTCTTTTATTTTAGTTTATATAAAAAAATTTATTCATAATAATAAATTGATTAAAAAAAAATCATTTATCATTTCCTGGAGCCAACTCTAGTTTGTTTAATTTCTTTTTGTATTTGAGTTCTTTCATTTTAAGATCTAATTCATACTCTTTGATCTTCAATTTTCTTTCTTCTAAGCTTATATGATGCTCTTCACTCTGTTTTAGTTGTAATGATTTTTCACTTGTTGATAGTTGATCATCATTGATGAATATTATTTTATCATTATCTCCAGTTTGTGGTTGTGACCTTTTTTGTTTTTTCTTTAGGTTCTGAGATATGGATGATTTAGTAGATCTTTTTGTATTTGAAATTTTTCTATTACTATTAATTCTCCTAGAAAGAATAATTTTATCTTTACTACTCATTGTCACACCTATATTATTGTGAACTTCAAATCTTTTATACATATTTTCATCATATTTCCAACCTCTTATGTGTGAGGAAAAAAAATTATACAATGTATTAATTATTATATTAATATGAACACTTACTTCAAAATTGCTGATTTTAGCTTTAAATTCTTTCCTATTTGGTTTACATTTGTGTGTCAGATTCTGCATAATTTGTATCAAAAGGTGTACTATTCCAAATCTCCTCTGGGACCAATGAATAATTAACATTTAATGAAGCTAAAATCCAAGTTTTTTTGTAAGATTTAACCAACCTATTAATGAAATTAAAAAAATCAATTAATATTGTGTTAAAAATTATTTTGAATGAACAATAAATTGACTTACTATCAATACCCAATTCACTTGTTTTTCTAAATTACTTAAAATTTCATCCACCTTTTCTTGTAAACTAGCACTCAAAATATTGTACATGAGGCTCTTAGTATTTCAGAATAATGATTATTCCTCATGTTCCTCTTGAAGTATACTTGGCAAGATTTGAAAACATTTCTCAGATGTTCTTTTCCTTTTCTAGATGGATCAATTTTTTTCAATGCTTTGCCAAGTCCTCAAGCTTGAGCAATATCCATATATGCCAAAACATAGGCCCATCCAGTTTTATGAATGTGATAAAATTTGGTTGGACACCTGTTAATTTATTAATGCCTTCAAAAAAAGCTTCAAACATTCTAGCATATGCAATTTTTGTTGCTATATTGGTAAAAATTCTACAAAAGGTCACGACTAAAACCAAATAAAAATAACTACTTAAATTATATGGAAGAATAAAAGAATTATATGTTAAAAGCAAAAAACAGAACTACTTACTACTATTATGGCCTTCATCATATGCATTAAATTCAAGTTCATTAATATTCCCATGAACCCTTTTGAAAGAAAGATCAACTTCAAAATAATTAAATTGTGTAGATTTAAAGGCTTGCTCTCAGGTCATGCAGCAAACCATTAGATGGCCATCATTAAACAAACCTTGAAATAATAAAAATAAATATTAAATAGAATTCATCTTGAAAGTTAATAAAAATTAAGTCATCAAACTCACTAATATTTTGAATATAATCCTTTAAATCTAAACCATTTTTATTTGTTGTATAATCATGTAAAAGTCCCAACAATCCTTGTCCATGGGGGTTGTTCTCTTTTTGTACACAGTTTATCATATATCTCAATTTATCTATATTGTTTACACTAGAATGGACTTCTGCAATGAAGTCAGATCCAAAAACAGATTTTATTAAATGACCTGTCAATAATTGATTTGCCTTAATTTCCACAATTTGAGATTCTAAGTCTTGGATTAAAGCTTTCAATTTATCTTTTATAAATGATGGAACTTTGATAGGTGGTGGCGGTGGGTGGTTGTGAATTCCTTGAGATACTAATACAATATATGGAAACTTCTCCAAATCATGAGGTGTAAATATTTTATAGTAAACACTACAACTTTTCCTTATTAACTGCATCCTTTGGGTTCTTCCCTGGTAAACATGCAGATGTGGATAATATTAGATTTTACTGTGTGAAGAAACAATAGTAGTGCAATTAGTGTCATTGTTTTTATCAGAGATATGTTCATCATTACCAAATAATGTTCTTAATAATTTGATACCAACACCAGGTTTTATTTGTAAAGATAAATGACCTTTTTGGTGGTAAGAATATCTATCACAGCTGATAAAGTCACTAAATTCATCAGTTCCAAGAATGGACTTCTGCAATGAAGTCAGATCCAAAAACAGATTTTATTAAATGACCTGTCAATAATTGATTTGCCTTAATTTCCACAATTTGAGATTCTAAGTCTTGGATTAAAGCTTTCAATTTATCTTTTATAAATGATGGAACTTTGATAGGTGGTGGCGGTGGGTGGTTGTGAATTCCTTGAGATACTAATACAATATATGGAAACTTCTCCAAATCATGAGGTGTAAATATTTTATAGTAAACACTACAACTTTTCCTTATTAACTGCATCCTTTGGGTTCTTCCCTGGTAAACATGCAGATGTGGATAATATTAGATTTTACTGTGTGAAGAAACAATAGTAGTGCAATTAGTGTCATTGTTTTTATCAGAGATATGTTCATCATTACCAAATAATGTTCTTAATAATTTGATACCAACACCAGGTTTTATTTGTAAAGATAAATGACCTTTTTGGTGGTAAGAATATCTATCACAGCTGATAAAGTCACTAAATTCATCAGTTCCATGAATTTTGTATTTTTTAATACAAGGTTTTCTGTCACATTGATAATTATTAAAGGGGCATTTCACTGCAATAGCTGCAAGGTACTCACTAAATAAAAAAGGAAAATAATCTTTAGTTATTTAACTATTTTGGCTAAAATAATATGTTAATAATTTCTCTTCAACAAATAACATTACTCCTTACATTTGAGTAGTAACATGTCTTTGTCTTTTGGAAGGAATGTTTGAATTAAGATTCGAAATAAATTGGTTGTTTTCAAGATTTACTGTCTTATGATATGCATTTAATATTTCATTACCAGCAAGTGGACATACTTTTACATCTTAACTATTTTTTTAACTGGAACATATGATTTTTGTGTTTTATCTTCAGGATTAATACCAAAATAAGGACATCCTACTTTAGAACTTCCACCACTAGGCTTGCCCATACTATTGGCACTTGGAAAAGAAAATAAATAAAACAAAACAAATTGATTAATTGATTGATTAGAAATACTGTCAGTTTGAATAGGAATACTGAGTTTTTAATTACATCATTTGTTACAGAGGAGACATCATTCCATTCTTTGACATAAAGTATATAAGCAATTCCTTCATTTGATGTTTCAGGATATTCTATTGGCATTATTGTATGTTTTACATCTTTAATTTTAGTATCCTGAGAGAACAGAGCAAATATGCCATCTTTGTCATCGGAATTAAAACCACCATTGTCATTATTATCCTTATTATCTTTATCACAAACACTACTATCACTTTCATCATCACAATCACAATCAACATCACCATTGCCAATATCATCTATATCTAAATTAAATTCTTTTCCATTAAGATTTTCACTACCATTTGTCACAGTGCTTAACAACTCAAGTTCCTAAATAATAGTATTTAATAGAATTGAATGAAGGAATTTTTCCCTTTTAATATTTTATTTTAATCATTAATAATAGTAAGAAATTATATATTACATTTGGATCTTCTTCAAAGTCATCATCATCAATAAATTTGATATTAAAGTTAAAGCTCTATAATGGATTTTTCTATAATAATAACGGACAAAAAATTCTGGCCCAATTTTTTACTATTAATATATGATCAATATCTGTAGGCGATGCTGTGAGAACTTCTCTTGGTCCCAAGGGCATGGACAAGATGGTACAAGGGGAAAAATCTAATAAAAATAATGACTTGAAAAATTTAAATATTTAGTACAAATTTTTATTACTCGTTAGATTAAAAGCTTGTTTAAAATATTTTTCTTAGATACAAACAGGCAGTGGTGAAGTTGTTATGACTAATGATGGGGCAACTATTTTAAAACATATGGCAGTCTTACACCCTGCAGCAAGGATGGCAAGTTTAATTGATTAATTGATAAAAAAACCAAATCCAGAAAGAAATCATTTATTGATTTTTTATTATTATTTATTAGCTTGTTGTTTTGTCTGCAGCACAGGATGTTGAAGCTGGTGATGGTACTACATCAGTTGTTGTGATTGCTGGAGCTCTTTGGGAGTAGCTGAGAAAATGCTTGCTAAAGGTACTTATAGCATATGTCTATAACGTTAAGAGCATAACGCATACATATACATTTAATGTTATTTGATCACTTATAGTATTTCCTAAAAATTCTAGGAATACATCCAACAACTATTGCTGAAGTTTTCCAACGTGCTGCAACAAAATCATCTGAATTTTTAACGGAAATGTCAACTCAAATTGATTTGTCTGATCGAAATTCTTTATTAAGGGCTGCAAGCACATCTTTAAATTCAAAGGTATAAACAATTACAACAACTAATAATACATTACATTAAATAAATTAGCTCTTTAACAAATGATATGTTTTATTAATTGAAATGATATACTTATATATATATATTTAGATTGTTTCTCAACATTCAAGTCTTCTTGCACCTATTGCTGTAGATTCTGTATTACGTGTTATTGATTCCGTAACAGCAACCAATGTTGATTTAAGAGATATCCGTATAGTTAAAAAAGTTGGTGGAACAATTGATGATACAGAGTTGGTTGATGGACTTGTTTTGACCCAAAATGTTGTTAAAGATTCAGGGGGTCCTTCACGTATTGAAAAAGCAAAAATTGGTCTTATTCAATTCCAATTATCACCACCAAAACCAGATGTGAGTATATTATTATGATTAATTTTTTTGAAGAATTAAATTAATTATATAATATATATGTTTTAAAAAATTATGATTAGATGGAAAATCAAATAGTGGTAAATGATTATATACTTATGGACAAAATTTTAAAAGAAGAACGCCAATATCTTCTTAATATGTGTAAAAAAATTAAAAAAACAGGCTGTAATGTTTTACTGATACAAAAATCAATTATACGTGACGCAGTGAATGATTTATCTTTACATTTTCTATCGAAATTAAAAATATTGGTTGTAAAGGATATAGAAAGAGATGAAGTTGAATTTATTTGTAAGAGTACCGGGTGTAAGCCAATTGCAGACATTGAATCATTTACTGAGGATAAATTGGGTTATGCAGAATTGGTTGATGAAGTACAAACTTCTGGTGCTAGGGTTGTTAAGATTACAGGAGTTAAACATAACGGAAAAACTGTATCAATTTTAAGTCGTGGAGCTAATTCACTTGTGTTAGAAGAGGCTGGACGTTCATTACATGATGCACTTTGTGTTATTCGTTGTTTGGTTAAGAAAAAGTAAGAGAAAAATGTGTATATATAATCTAATACAACAACATAATGAATCAAGGCATGTATATGACTAATAACAAAATTCAAATTTTCTATATCTTACAGTGCTCTTATTGCTGGTGGAGGTGCTCCTGAAATCGAAGTTTCTCAAAGTTTGTCTGATTATGCTAAATCACTTAAAGGAATGGAAGCACATTGTTTTGAAGCATTTGCAACTGCGCTTGAAGTTATTCCATTAACTTTAGCTGAAATGCAGGTTTAAATCCAATTAATATAGTTACTGAGTTAAGAAATAGACATGCCTTGGGTGAAAAAACAGCTGGTATTAATGTGAGAAAGGTAATTTGAATGTCTGTTTTTTTAACAATGAATTATAATGAATTAGTAAAAATCAAAATCATAAGGTAATAAATAATAATAATAATAAAATTGAACAATAGGGTTCAATTACAAATATTCTTGAAGAAAATGTTATACAGCCATTACTTGTATCTACTAGTGCTATAGAGTTGGCTTCAGAAACTGTTAAAATGATATTAAAAATTGATGATTTGGTAAGATTATTATTGAGTTATGATTAATTTTTTTATTGGAAATAATTTAACTTATTTGTTTTTATATTCAAATAGGTTCAAACTCATTAAGTATTTATTTGCTGTTTTTTTTTCTTTTTTTTAAAATAATAAAAAATAAAATGGGTTATAAACAATTTATTTATAAAATACAGAATATAAGATTTTTTAATTTTAATTTCTAAGGCCAACTTATATTTATGAAATATATATATATTAATTAATTATTTATTTATTTGTTAAATAATAATGATGATGATATTAACAACTTCTTGCATTCGAATATCAAATAAATAAAATCTTTGCCAAGACTCCCCTCTTATTAAGGCCTGTTCAATAGAAACAAGGTTAAGTGTTGCCCAAAAGTCAATTTTCAGTTAGTATCACATTTTAATAAAATTTTAAAAAACAATAGTAAATAATAGGGCATGGGCAATAGAAATGAGGATAACTATAAGCATCGTGATTTTGAGTTAATAATGCTTCTATATGCAATTTATCACAAGGATTAATTTTAGCTTAGAAATCATACCCCACTTTACATAATATATTCCATTAAAATGTAGATCTTTTATTGATTTTCTCGTAACACGATTTCCTCGTTTCTATTGCCAATCAAATAATAATAATAATAATTCAATTTTTTGTTATTAAATCCGTTTACAATTCTGACGTTCTCAAGTATATATTCTATTACTCAAATATAATATCCACCGATTTAAAGAACAAATTCCATTCATAATTTCAAATAATTTACATCTTTATTTTAATTTTCAATTTTAATCTCTATAATTGTGCCATGTGACTATATGCAAGCAAAACATCAATTTTTTTGAGTTTCAACAAATCCAGGAAAACATTCTTCTAACCTTTTGCTATGTTTATTTTCAGCATGTTCAGATAATCTAAATATTATATTAATCATATAAATTAATTAAATCGTGTAAGTAATAAAAATTGTAAATTATTAAGATAAATAAATACAAACGCTTTAGCTCTTATAGTACATAAAAAAGTATTACGACAAACTTGACAAATCACAGTTCTTGCTGCTTCATTCTAAATTGATTAATAAATCAATCACTCGGACAATGAATGAATTGATGTTTTCTAAATTAATAAAAAATTAATAAATATTTAAAACATACAACTTTCAATTGACTGCTTGCATTTTTTGCTCCGTTTGCTTTTTGGTTTCTTTCTCTTTTATGTTGAGCCTTTTGGCCCTATAACCAATCAATTAATTAATTGTTATTATTTTTAAATTTATATCAAGAATTTGTAGATAATAGATAAAAGAATATATATTTATTCCAAGTAGTTTTATAAGGAGAAGAAAGCTTAGGGATTACAGACAATTCATTGTGAACCAACAATGCCTTAAAAACTTACATTTCCCATCTTCTTTTCTTCTCTCAATATAAACAAATTGATATAAAATAAAATAAAAAATTTTCTTACGATTTTCAAGTGTTTTTTCCGAAATTTTTTGGTGATCGACGTCGAATTTATCAATTAATGTCGTAAGAATGATATTGTACTTTCTAGAACTGCCTAAAAATCAAATGATTTTTCAAGAACAAGAAAACTGAAATGAAGAAATATATCATATTTTTGAGAAACATTTTTGCCATTCGGGAAAGTTTTAATGGAATCATTTTCATTTACTGTGGATGGTGCTCATATTTAAGAGATTTTGTGTCACACATTTATTTAGAACGATTGAAGATCATTTGTTTGAAGATGGGATTGGATTTGGGGCATGCTGAAACAAAACCAGACAAAGTGAAATTTAGCAATGATCCTAGCGCTCAAATTTCTCATGAGCATAGTAAAGTACATGTTTTAAAAAAGAATAGAACTCTACAACAAAGAATTTTTTTGAGAAATCTCTTTATTACATTAAAACTAAATACATATTCTATCAACTAATAGAGCTATTTTTTTTTAAAAAATAGGATAGAAAATGACTTCTATACTTTTAAAATTTGCCCAAATTTAGGAGGTCTTTAGACTGAGCCAACTATAGTGGGAGGAGGTAATGATATTTATTAGCACCTAAAATTTTTAAATAAAAAATTAAATAAATCAATACCTTAAGATTTGTTTAGGAAACAATTGAATTCTTTTTAAAAAGCTTTATCAACTTTAACTTTACTATTTTCATAAATATCATCAAGTTCTTCACTAGAATCCTTTTTTGGTGACGATGATAAATATGATAAATTTTTCTCTTCAACATTATCGATTTCTTCTGGTTCAGTGACAATTTCATATTCAGGAAATAATATTTTTTGGCTATATATTTTGTTATTATTATTATTTTCTTCTTTGTGTCTTCCGATATTCCAATGATTTATTTGATGTTCTCTTGAACAATAACAACTCATTCCACACTTCCCGCATTCTTTTAACTCTAATAATAGATTATTTGACTAATTAAAAAACAAAAAAACTTTCTTAATAAATATTCATAAATTGAATAAAAAAAATTTTAAAAAATTTTCATTTAATGTGTCATTTGAAATGTTTTTTGAAGATTCATCATCATCATTAATATTCTTGTCCTTATTATTATTTTTGTTGTTATTGTTATTGCTGTCATCACCAAATTCAATATACGGCCAATATGTATTATCTTTTGGTAATTGATTTCTATAAATTTTAAAACTTTTATTTTCAAAAAAAAGAAAAAAAGGGTTTTTTAAATTTTTAAATAATCAGAATACACACACAAACCATTTATGACCTTTGAATTGGTTGGCGCTTCTGAAGTCAATCAATACAATTTCATTATATCGAATGATTCATTATAAAAAAGGAATATTTTGTAAAAAATGTAAAATTTTGAATTTTCAAATGCTAAGGCTCATCCAATTTTTAGTTTCGATAAGTTTTGAGGTTTGAGTCATGAATAATAAAACTTGTGAGTTAACTTTTTTAAAATGATATAAAAATTTTCCGTTTTAATACTATTAATTGATATATTGTATCATGACCTCGCCTAAATATAGTCAAACTTCGATAAACCAAATTCCATTAAACCGAAGTTGTAGTTTATAGTAATAGTAATAGTAAATTTCAGAATTTCTACCAATAGCCCTGATTACTTCTGCTTATATGTAATAGGGACCGCATTTGTAAATGGAAATATAAGGTGTAAATTTAAATGTAAAAAGATGAAGAAAAAATGTGTAACAAACGTCTCGGAATACTCCAAGAAAAAATAATCGATAAAACGTTCGTTAGTGTATTTTACAAGCTTCATATATCTTGTCCTTAATGCTTACTTCAATCACTCCTATACAAACTATTAAATAGTTGATAGAACGTTCGTTAGTATATTTTGCAAGCTTCATAGATCTTGTTCTTAACACTTGCTTCGAACTTCTACACAAACTAGATCTTAATCTTTATTATCATCCTCAAAAAAGATGTTTCGTTGTCGTTGTTTGCTATTTGTTGTTACTAATATTATTGTTTAATGTCGCTATAACAACTACTGATTGATGGATATTCATAATAATCATTAATGAAACTTTAATCAATATAAAACAATCACTAATAAAATACCTTTTAGTTTTTGACGAATCCCATCTACATAAAATTCTTCGTGACTATTAAATTTCTATAAAATGGATTTTCGTGAGTCTCTCTAAAACTTATTAACCAATACCCCATAGAGTAATGATCATATAAAAGTTTGATGTATTCTACACCTTCTCATTTACTATCAAGTCTTTTTAAGCGATATTGAGAAATAATCTGAGCTTTGAAGTGAAAAAGTAATACTGTTTTTGAATTAGTCGTGGATTCATGTAGAGAAGACCTTTCGATATGAAAAGAGTATTCATTAGAAAGCTTTAATGGAGTTCTTTCATTTTTCTCTAACAACAAGTTCGAGTTTTACGAGATGTTTTAAAAAACCTTCATGTGACACGAATTTCGAATTTATTTTCACGTGCCTCAGGGATATGTCACACGACTATTATTATTATGCATGGGTGATTATTAGCATTGGTATTAGTATTAGTAATTTGGAATAACGAATTTTAAATGAAACTCTTTTATGTGTCCCGTGCACCCGTTGTTGACTGGACTGAAATTGATTAAATATGGAGGTAAACATATGTGTGAAATCGTAAATATATATTTCATAGGTTCATGCATCACTTAAAGAATAATTATTTGGGTAGAATCAATGATTTATTTCTTTTATAAAATAAATCATCATAGTTGTATAAATCGCGTTAGAACGAACAATAATAAAATTATTCCAAAACAGTTATAAAGTATATATGGCATGATCAGCAATGTGTTTTATTTTAATTATAATACGAGTGAGTCTTTAAAACTGGTTTTGATCCCAGATAGCCTGGTGTAGAATTTGGTGGCGCTTCTGAAGTCGATTCATTATGTCAAATGATTTTTCATTATATAAAAAAGGAATATAATATTTTACTACTGGATTGATCGAGTTTTTTTTTTTTTTTTTTCAAGCAAAATGAATGATAATAATTTTAACTTTTTCATCCCTGACCATCCACAAAATAATCCTTCGATTTCTACCTATTCTAATAACATTAATCTCAATAGTAATAACAATAATAATAATAGTGGTGATAACGCGTCTAATATTAACACTTTTGGTGAGAGTTTTCAAGCAGCCAACTTAAACAATAGTCCTCTTGAATTTTTATCTCCGTCACAATCTCAGTTTTCACTTGAAACACAAACTCAATCTTTACATGGACAACATTTACTTCTTGAAACACAACAAACTCTGATTCTACAACAGCCTCATCCTTCGAATCCTCAATTAAGCCATCATCATCAAAATGGGCTCGTTGTTCCTCAACCATATAATCAAGCACAAATGCATAAAAGAAAAAATATTTATATATAAATATGCGTAAAAATAATCGTTTCGAAATCATTTTCCATCAACTAATTTCTTATTTTTACCATATTCTATATTCACATTCCTTTCATATACAATTGTATTGTATTTGATCTTATCTTCACCTTCACTTAATCCATCTACACATTTATTCCTTCCTTACTCCATCCTCTATCCATTAATCCATCCATCCATCCATACATTCATCCATCATTCTATCCTTTAAATTTTAGAAAACTGATTTAAAAATAGACTTTAATTAGAAAGTAGATAAAATTTATAAATAAACAAGACAATGGCTACTAATTATTCTAGTAAACAATTCCGTAATCAAAATACTCCATTGATATTGATGGTTTTGATATGTTTGTTGGTTTTGTCATCAGTTATTCAAAGTACTAATGCAAGACCAGTTAGCAAAATAAAGTCAATATCAAATGAACAAATAAAAACTTTTACAACATTTGCAAATTACGCTAGTGCAGCTTATTGCAGAGTTGAAGATATTGTTAAATGGGATTGTCCAACTTGTAAAACAGTGCCAGAAACTGTTGTTATTAAAGTAATTACCGCTCCCAAAACAGACACTCAAGGTAAAAAGGAATTAAAAAAATCTTATTGTTACTATTATATTATTATTACGATTACTAATTTTCGAAATTTACAGTTTTTATTGCTAAAGATTCTACATCAAAGCAACTCATTGTCTCTTATAGAGGAACCGTAAGGACAAGTTTTAGAAATATATTGACAGATGGATCATTAGTGTTGAGACCTTATCCTCCAGCACCAAATGCGAAAGTTCATACAGGGTTCTTTAAAGCATTTCTTGAATCAAGAAAAGATGTTATTGAGGAAGTAACAAATTTCATGGAGACAAATCCTGATTTTAAAGTTGTTCTAACTGGTCATAGTTTAGGCGGTGGTAAGATAAATTTTATTCATTAAACTAATTTGCTTATTTATTTATTTAATCAATCTATATATTAATATTTTAATATTTAATATTTTGTTTTTGACAAAAAAAGCCATTGCAACACTTACGGCCTTAGATTTGGTACAAAATAATAAAAAATTAGTTTCTGAAGAAAATTTATTTATTTTCACATATGGTTTACCTCGTATTGGAAATCAAGAATTTGCTAATTTTGTTGATAGTCAACTTAAACTCAATCGTATAGTAAATTTTGAAGATGCAGTACCAAGATTACCACCAAAATTCCTCGACTATAAACACAGTGGTAGTGAATTTTGGATATCAGATCCTGCTAAAGCGCCAACTGATGCTATAATAGAATGTCAAGGTCAAGAAGATAATAAATGCTCTTTGTCAGTTAAACCATTAAAACTTAATATTAGAGATCATGAGGGACCATATATTGGTGTGAGCATGGAAGATTGTCCAGATTTTAGTAAAAGTAATTCTGATGAGATTCTTAAATTATTAGAGAAGGCGTTAAATAAAAATAAGTAAGATATTTGTCATGTATTAATAATAATAATGTAATGAGAAATAAAAATTACAAGTTTAATGGTTTCGCGAAAATTTTCTCGCGAGTTTTTATTAAAAAAAGTAAATTAGGTATTATTTATTTCTGCTAACACTCGACTGATCTAGTCATCGTTAGTAATTTACTGAGTAATGTTAAATTAATATATTAATACTTGGATCCCGTATGACCTAATACATTACTATATATAACTTTATATTATCTTGGAACTTATCATGTTGTCATTTCTCTTTTCAATGGATAATTTTCCTCGTGCGAAAGAATTATTAACAATTAATTACCTGAATCAAAATGAAGAAAGGTGACAAGTACTAGTCCAGATTTTAGAGCGCTTTTAAATTAAATAAGAAATACATATTACTTAATCCATTCCATTCCTTTTAAAACAATAAGGTAGAACCGTCTGCTGAAGATAGTATTGAATATTTTTAGGAAGGAACGATACAATACAAAAGTTCGCGAAAAGAGAAAGGTCCTGTGCAAAAAAAACGGATAATAAAAACTTTTATTAAACAAATATGGTGATAAAGGTATTCTAAAACTTGTGGTGAATTATCAAGTATCAGTTATGAGGCACAACCACTTCCAAAACCCATTGTGAATTATTGTCATAATCCTGATTTTGGTCAAAATGTCTATATGACTATGATATAATGATAGGCTTCTTATCTAATTGTTATACAATTGACTTTATGCCATACATAACTCATCGAAATAGAGGTGTTCTATTTGATTGTGGTGTTGCTGGTTCTCGTTATAGTGACAAGATTACAAATCCACTAATCGCAGAAACTTTTAATGATAAAGAACATTTGGTATAGATCTAAAAATAAATAAGCCGATATGTTAAATTTTATACATATCATTCTAAATTAAGTAAATATAAATTTTTTACTGATATTAGATTTCAACACTTATTATGAATAGTGTAATGAAAGATCAAAGGCCAAACATGATGGTGTTCTTTATATGTTATTACACAGAAAAAATTAAATTGTATTTACCGAGATTGTTCATTGAAGATTTATATCTGATAGAAATGCCAAGACATACCTTTAGATATTCTTGCATGGTCGCTAATTCTTATCCAAACATAAATGCCTATTAATTAGTTGTGTTTCTTGATATCGATAGGTGTTATAGAAATGTCATTGTCCATATAGGATCAACGAGAATATTTAATATATAACGAACAATGAATAATTTTTATCAAAATTCTTATCAACCAACTACCATTATTATATATATATTATTTTTTAATAATTAATCAATTTGATTTTACTAATATTTTTTAAAAAAACCATTATTCTCGTATCATTATTATTACGATAAAAAAGAATAGAATGTCCAGGTCCATTTGTTATATTAATTAAATAGTAAATAAAAAAAATAAAAGATAGCAAATAAAAATATTTATTTAAAATATTATTATTATTATTATTATTATTATTATTATTATAAATTAAATAAATAAATATTTTTTTTTGTATATCATTATTATTATATAAATACATCGTCATATTGTAACCCTCAAAAAACCCAAAATAACTAAATTATTCATATACTAATTAACTAATTTAATATTTAAATATTTAAATCTACACCTAGAGTCTACAAATTTAACTATTTAATTAAATAATAAAACAAATAGAACTCAAAAATTGTTATTAATTCAATTATATTGTCAATTATAATTATAATTATTATTCTAATTTTTTTTAATAATTTAAAAAAATATATTTATCCTTAACTTTTATTTTCTCAGCCTTCTTGTTGAACACGTTCAACACGTTTCAACCAATTTAATTTTCCAGTTATTTCACCTTTCATTTTGCTGACTTGATCTGCATATTCATCAGTTTTTTTACTCGTGTTTTCTACATCTATTTTTATTTCCTTCACTTCTTTAATTAGTTCTGCTGTGTATTTTTCTTGGTTTTCTTTCAATTTGGAATAAACACTTTCTAAATTATCCACATTAACTTTACGTTCAGACGTTAATTCTTCGACACGTACACCTGCCATTAAGACAACATCCTCTAGATGTCTTGAAGTTGAATTTAATTCTTGGCGAAGCTCTTTAAACTCTTGTTTAACAGTTTCAACATCTTTGGCGTATCTAGCTTTGAAACTTTGCATTTCTTTAGATAAAAGTTTATACTCGTATTCAGCTTTTTCTTTACAAGCCAAAGCTTCGGATAATTTTCTTTCCAAATCGGATACCTTCAATTCTGCTTGTCGAAGCTTAGTGCTTGCATTATCACGTTCAAATTTCATATATGTACTTTTTTTTTCATAATCTCGTGATGATTCCTCCAACTCTTTTGTCTGTCTTTCTTTTCTTTCAAGCATCCTTTTCAATGAATCAATCTCAAGCCTTAGAGTTTGATGTGTTGCCGTATGTTCTTGTACTTGTCGTTCAGATTTTTCACGAGAAATTTTTGCAGTTTGAGCTTGAGTTTTCGATTCATTTAATTCTTTTCTTAAATTGTCTATTTCAACTTGTAAATGCTCAATAAATCTACCAGTCGTAGATTCGTTGGTCGCTATAACATTTGATGAATTTGGTTGACGTTTATTATTATTAAGTTGCTTTTGTACTGTATTAAGCAATGCATTTCTTTCTGCTAGATCGTGTCGAAGATTATGAACTTGTTGTTTAAGGGAGTTGACTGTACCCGAATCTACTATAAATTTATTAATAAATAAATTTATAAATTTAATAAAAATCATACATGTCAAATATATATATATATAAATATATATATTACAGGTTTGGGTTTAAAGAGTTATAAATTATAATGTAAAAAGTATATATTTATTGTAAAAAAAAATTTAACAATAAATAACCACTTTTTGACTATTTGAAACTGAATATAGATTCGTTATAAATAATTCTTTAATTGATAAATTTATTTATTATATGTAAAATGTAATGATTACTTACCAAGTTCTCCATTATTCATTTCTGTTGTTGTGTTAATAACTGTATAGTCTGACAGTTTGCTTGTTAATGAGAAATCGTCGAAATCTAGTTCAGGCAAAATTTTGAATAAACAAAATCAAAAAAAAAAAAAAAAAACGAGAAAAAAACAACTATAAAAATTCAAACCTTTTTAGATATATTTTACGTATGTGTGTGTGTGTGGTGGATGTGTGTGTGTGTGAAAAACCACTATAAATAAATAACCAACTTCAAACAAAAGAGTGCAGATTAAGGATTAAAAAAAAAAAATATATAAATTTAGATTATTTATATAAGTTTTTTTGATAAATAAAATAAATTTCTTGAGCTTGTCAAAAGAAAGTTGTTAAATAAAAAGAAGTTGTAAAATAAAAATAGTTAAATAAATAAAAAATAATTTTTTGTTTATTGAAAAAAGTTAATTAAAGAAGTTATAATTTTTGAATGCAAGGAATCAAAAGATTTCAGGGGCTAAAATTTGACAATGCGGGATTGTATAAATTTGGAATTGATATACAAATGCAACAACCAATCAATTAACGAATTTTGCTTGATACGTTACAGTACAGTAAGGGAGATTTCCAAATTTGGTTGGGAAAAATTCGACCCCTCGTCGATCAATTCATATGACCTCGAATAAATTATAATTAAACTCATATAAAAAAGTGATATCTTTAATTTCGCTGGTGATTTTACGAGATCACTACTCCATTTTCACAATTATAATTATCAGAGGATCAGATTAACAATGGTAACACGAATTAATTTGTTGATTATGATTTTGCATTCTTATTGGTTGATTTAATGATCAACAAAGTGATTGACAGACTTTAAATATTTTATAAAAACTATATTATTTTCTACCTAAAAAAAAAATGTTCGATTTGCCACCTGAACTTTTAACTAAAAATATCCAAATACATCAAAGATGACTATAAAACATTATATTCTTGTATTCTTGTCAACAAACAATGGCATTATATTAATATTTCAACTTTATGGAAAAATCCATTTTTGTTTGTGAAGACAGCATCAAAATAATTAATTGTTTATTGGAAGAAGATAAGGATTTCTTAACTAGAAATCACATTGGATTAACTTTGGAACTATTGGAGAAACCACTGTTATATAATTATGCCAGATTTAGTACTAGTCCTTCTGATTATTATGGTTTTCAAATACTGATAAAAATTGGTGCATCACAAATTTTACAAAAATAAATTAGTAGAATTTATTTTAGACCATTCAGCAGGTATTAGAGTATGTAGTACTATTAATTATATAGATTGTAATTTGTTAATTAATCATCATAGATTTGATAATATCTTTCAGAATCTTTATAAATTAGAATGTTTTAGTTCTGTTAATAGTGAAATTTTTGATAAATTATTAAATGTTTGTAAAAATATTCAATCATTAAAAATATATTACAATAGTAATGATAAATATATATATAAATTGACACAGCTAATTAAAGCACAAAAGCAAATTAAATATTTAATTATTGAAGCAGAAAATGAACAAATTTTACCAGATGAATTAAAAGAAGCAATACTAACACATTCACAATCAATAACTTCTTATGAATCTGATGGAGAGATTAATTTGGAAAATTCATTAATACCAACATTTAAAAATTTAGAGACTTTATCAACAATTGTTGATTATAGATTAAATAATTTGAAAAATATTTCGCTGCCAAGTATTGAAACTGTGAGGGTATGTGTTGCATATCAATCATTCCTATTAGACTTTGTCTGATTTTATTAATATCAATGGAAAAACAATTAAAAATCTGGATGTTGATTTTAATAAGGAAAACTATAACACTCGGGATGGCAAATTTATGAGGAAGCTATTTAAATCAATTGCACAATCTTGTATAAATTTAGAAAATTTATCAACACTTTATGATGATGAGTTTGATCAGGAATTAATAGGAGTACTCAATAGTTGTACAAAGTTAAAAAGTATTGTACTTGTTAATGCTTTTAATGATTCTCATTTGGGTTATTTTGGCAAAGATGGATTTTATGGACTTGATGGTGATAAAATATTAATGGTGTTAAATCAAACACTACCAAAAAAATTAGGAATGATTTGTGTTTATGGGCTTATAATATTAGTGACTATTCATTAAATATTTTAATGAAGAATTGGAGAGAACCTAAACCTTTAACAATGAAATTTTGTAATGAACATGATGCAATAATGAAAACATTAAAAAAATATCAAGATTTAGGATTATTAAATTAGTTAATAATATTTAAAATTGTTACAATAGGAAGATTTCATTTCATTACATTTATATAACAAAGAATGGTTGATTGTCATTTGACATTATTTGTGGTTAGCATTAACTTGATATTAATGGCAAGAGGTGGTTTCTGTGATATTATTTCGTTTTATTCATTTTACAAAATATAAAGTATTAATTCATGATTTGATACAACAAATTCTATATTGTTATTTTTGTTATTGTTAAGGGATTGTAAAATTATAAATAATAAGGTCTTATCCCCTTTATAAATTACAATAATTATATTTATAATCAATATAACTACTATGGTACTATGGCTTAAGGAAAGAAAATAAAATGAAATCACTTTGCTACTACTATTTATTATTATTATCACTGTATAGGAAAAATGTTTTAATGGATTCAACAGAACCAGACAAAGTGAGCATTGGTATTACCAAGAATTTCAGGGATCAAAAATTGAATTACGGCACGCGTAACAATAATTTGGGCTGCATGTATTAATTAATGTGTTATATATCACTCTCTATTTTTATATATATAATCAAGGGAAATATCACATGACTATTAGTAAAAAAAAAGGATTGTTCAAATCCGTTGTGACAAGAAATCCGCTATGACGTTAATTAGTAAGGAAATTGAAATCTATGAAAATATTTAATTTTTATATGTTGATAAACGAATTAACAAAGCAATTAAAACTTTATTATTATTATTAAGATCAAGAAAAGCTTAAAATATGGTAATATACTGTATGTGTATATAATTTCATTTCTAAAATTTTGATTATTTTTATATTACTCACATTAAATGGTGATAGCATCTAAAAAATCTGGAAATGGCTTTAAACTAGGATCTGAAAAATGTAACCAATCTCGTACTTTCATTTTGTCTTCTCCTGGTGTATTAATGATCATCATTTTTTTCCTAAACTTCTTTTGTTCAAAGATTTCATTTTTTAGAATTTGAAAAAAATTAAAGATTTTCAAAAAGTACACTATCGAATCTAAAGAAAATGGAATTATGCAAGATGCAAGTTCCACAGCCAAATACTTCCTTTTATCAAATAGTGAACCCGAAAAAAAGTGTTAATCTATCCCCGATTACTTGTATACTAAATGATTTGATTTTTTTTTGCATCTTCAATCTTGCAATTAAGATCATTTCCAAATATGTAGCACAAATTACAGACTGCCATCATCAACAATTTTTTTATATCTCCTACTGTATGTGATTCTTGTGGATTATAAGGTGGACCGGAAACCTCAACATCACAATCTCTTTGCCATCTACCAAATGGGTGACAAGAAGGTCAGTCTTTCTTAATCTAGCTTGCGTCATAAACATTTTATTGGCAATCTTAATTGAATCCACTTCTTTTTCAATCCAATCGTACTTGATTTCCGGAAATGCATTTCTGAATGACTTGAATATTGGAGACATACATTCAACAGTAAATGTTCGCTCAGAGATTTCACGATCAAAAATTTTTGGATTTCTATATTCGAAATTTGACGTAAAGGCTAAAAAAGAATGTTTAATAAAAAAAGAAACCTTCCGGTTTCTGATTGATCGCTATAGTGTGTTGTTGTTTCCAATATTATTTTTGATCCAACGACACTAGGATCTGCATCGAATATGGATTCCAACTTCTTTACAATACTGTTATCTAAAAATAAATTTTCAATCTTTCCTATTAATTGTTTGATTTCTCGATATAATTGATGGCAGAATGAAATGCACAAATAATGTATGCCGACGAATACTGATCATACATATGTTCAAAAATTATCGTTTTATTTGGTGTGAGAATCATAGGGCTTTCTGGCGTATCTTTTTCGGTATTATTGATAGTAGGAATTTGTGTGAAACGCTATTGGTCAAAAATTTATGAAAGTTAGGAACTGATAGCATTGATAAAACTTGATAAAAGTTAAACATTTTGAAATATTATGTAATCCATGCATTGGATTTTAAAAAAACCGCCATCATTCAATTCAGCTTTAAAAAGGGAGTCTATTAATATAAAAAAAAATTTTGTCTCAAATTTTCTTTTCATAGATTTTTTAAATTTGAAAGTTACAATATTTTGAATCTCACGACCAAATTTGGTAATGATTTTCTTTTAATGTTATGTTCGTTAAACTTTTTTGTTGTAAGGAACTTTTTATCTATTAATAAAAAAAAGGAAATAAATAAATCAAATAAATCAAATGTATGTTGTAGAAAATATTCTATGAAAAAAAATTTGTTACACGAATTTACTTAGTCTCAATTTCTTAAATGTATAACAAAATTCGGAATTTTCAAAATGCTAAGGCTTTGCCAATTTTCAGTTTAAGAAAAAACCAGCCGATAAGTTTGAAGCTTGGGTCGTGAACAATAAAATTTATCGTTAAATTTTTTGAAATAATATAATAATAATTTTTTTTTTTTTTGTTTTAGTATTTTGAAGTTGACCAATTGTCACTATAAGCAATTAATGATTATAGATGATCTGCACCGTAGTAATGATGTCAGCTGGCTAAGGAATTTTTAAACGGCTCAGCAAGCCAACGTTTTTATATCACTATTTGTAGTAAATTGCTTTAAAAATTGTAACTCACACCCGCGGTCAAGTATTAAAAACATGTATGTATCTGTTTATTCGGAAATATTAATACAAATTGTCTTAAAGAAAATACATGATTTAATTCTCAAGAAAGCATTAATATTAGAAGAATTAGTAATATTAATACATTAAAAATCATCATAAATCACATTATACATAATAAACATTAACAATTAATTGTATTAATTATTCAGGTTCAGGCTCAGGTTTGATTCGCATATTTCCAATTTCTTCTCCATCCTCGTCTTGAGCGAACAATAAACTCGCCATATCTCTAACTTTGAGTTTTTTGTCAAATTCGAATGGTCCGGTTCCAGGACAATTAATAATCAATTGATCTCTAATTTCATCAGTAAGATTGACTATTACTACTCCACCATCATTATTAATGAAGAATCCGTAATCATTTTTATTTTCACTTATAAAACCAGTGTTGAATTGTCCAGTTATACGTGTGATTTCTTTTGAAATCTATACAAACCGGACTTCACCAGAAACTCTTTTTTACATTACCGCCGTTATCAAATCTTGCAATAGCAACTTTGACTGCTGCACGTTTTTCTGAGAGAATTGGTGATGCATTGATAAAAACATTCAATAAAATCGTAATAATTAAAAGAGCAAATGTTAAGAATTTAAAAGATTTTGACAACATTTTTTATATATTATTTTATAATAATATTATTAAATGTTTTGGGAAACTTCATGTCAAAAAGAAAAGGACGATTGCACTTTTATTTATACGATTTTTTTTTTTTCGAGAAAAACCGTCCATTAAAATTTGCGTAACAAATATCTATTTTTTAAAAAACACGGGGAACGAAATTCCTTGACTAATTGAGATAGTGATTAGTATAATAATTTTTATCCCTTTTTTTTATTTTTAAGTGTTTTAAGTGTTCTTCATATGATTATTAAAATAAAATATTATCATTATCATTATTACCAAAAAGGATGTCTTCAAGTGACACTACCGCCTTTTCACTTTCTGACGATGACAACAATAATAAAATCATTATCAATAATAATAATAGTGGCGGCAGCTATTCAAATAATGACAATGTAAGACCGTGCTGTGCTTGTCCTAACACAAAAAAAGCTAGGAATGAATGTATATTTAAATATGAAGATGAAACAAAATCTCAAAATTTAATTGAGGCTTGTATGGAAGTTTTGGATTTAATATTTAAGAAAAAGAACTCACGTTTTGTTTTTTTTTTTTTCCACAAAATTAGCAATTAAAAGGTGTGATGATTGGTGAGTAAATCAAAGTATGTAGCAATTAATCAACATTATTTATCTACTATCTATATGCGATTATTATTAACTCATTTGTTTTTACTTTTTCCGATATATTTTTTAGGAACATTTAGCAAATTTCCATTTGTTTCATATACAATTAAATAGAAAAAAAAAATAGCTTTAAATCCGATTTACACCATCGTTGCTAAAATCTTGTCTATAGATGAATTCTTCCAAATAATAATTATTTTCAAAGTGACAACTATCTTTGTTCCCCAATCAAGTGATTCAAGTTTTGTGAGATCTATTTTAAGGTAATTTAATAAGGTTGATAATATTAAAGTATTGGTCTAAATTTAGTAATGATGGTCAAAAACTAGTCTAAATTTAGCAATGATCCTAGCGCTCAAATTTCTCATGAGCATAGTAAAGTACATGTTTTAAAAAAGAATAGAACTCTACAACAAAGAATTTTTTTGAGAAATCTCTTTATTACATTAAAACTAAATACATATTCTATCAACTAATAGAGCTATTTTTTTTTAAAAAATAGGATAGAAAATGACTTCTATACTTTTAAAATTTGCCCAAATTTAGGAGGTCTTTAGACTGAGCCAACTATAGTGGGAGGAGGTAATGATATTTATTAGCACCTAAAATTTTTAAATAAAAAATTAAATAAATCAATACCTTAAGATTTGTTTAGGAAACAATTGAATTCTTTTTAAAAAGCTTTATCAACTTTAACTTTACTATTTTCATAAATATCATCAAGTTCTTCACTAGAATCCTTTTTTGGTGACGATGATAAATATGATAAATTTTTCTCTTCAACATTATCGATTTCTTCTGGTTCAGTGACAATTTCATATTCAGGAAATAATATTTTTTGGCTATATATTTTGTTATTATTATTATTTTCTTCTTTGTGTCTTCCGATATTCCAATGATTTATTTGATGTTCTCTTGAACAATAACAACTCATTCCACACTTCCCGCATTCTTTTAACTCTAATAATAGATTATTTGACTAATTAAAAAACAAAAAAACTTTCTTAATAAATATTCATAAATTGAATAAAAAAAATTTTAAAAAATTTTCATTTAATGTGTCATTTGAAATGTTTTTTGAAGATTCATCATCATCATTAATATTCTTGTCCTTATTATTATTTTTGTTGTTATTGTTATTGCTGTCATCACCAAATTCAATATACGGCCAATATGTATTATCTTTTGGTAATTGATTTCTATAAATTTTAAAACTTTTATTTTCAAAAAAAAGAAAAAAAGGGTTTTTTAAATTTTTAAATAATCAGAATACACACACAAACCATTTATGACCTTTGAATTGGTTGGCGCTTCTGAAGTCAATCAATACAATTTCATTATATCGAATGATTCATTATAAAAAAGGAATATTTTGTAAAAAATGTAAAATTTTGAATTTTCAAATGCTAAGGCTCATCCAATTTTTAGTTTCGATAAGTTTTGAGGTTTGAGTCATGAATAATAAAACTTGTGAGTTAACTTTTTTAAAATGATATAAAAATTTTCCGTTTTAATACTATTAATTGATATATTGTATCATGACCTCGCCTAAATATAGTCAAACTTCGATAAACCAAATTCCATTAAACCGAAGTTGTAGTTTATAGTAATAGTAATAGTAAATTTCAGAATTTCTACCAATAGCCCTGATTACTTCTGCTTATATGTAATAGGGACCGCATTTGTAAATGGAAATATAAGGTGTAAATTTAAATGTAAAAAGATGAAGAAAAAATGTGTAACAAACGTCTCGGAATACTCCAAGAAAAAATAATCGATAAAACGTTCGTTAGTGTATTTTACAAGCTTCATATATCTTGTCCTTAATGCTTACTTCAATCACTCCTATACAAACTATTAAATAGTTGATAGAACGTTCGTTAGTATATTTTGCAAGCTTCATAGATCTTGTTCTTAACACTTGCTTCGAACTTCTACACAAACTAGATCTTAATCTTTATTATCATCCTCAAAAAAGATGTTTCGTTGTCGTTGTTTGCTATTTGTTGTTACTAATATTATTGTTTAATGTCGCTATAACAACTACTGATTGATGGATATTCATAATAATCATTAATGAAACTTTAATCAATATAAAACAATCACTAATAAAATACCTTTTAGTTTTTGACGAATCCCATCTACATAAAATTCTTCGTGACTATTAAATTTCTATAAAATGGATTTTCGTGAGTCTCTCTAAAACTTATTAACCAATACCCCATAGAGTAATGATCATATAAAAGTTTGATGTATTCTACACCTTCTCATTTACTATCAAGTCTTTTTAAGCGATATTGAGAAATAATCTGAGCTTTGAAGTGAAAAAGTAATACTGTTTTTGAATTAGTCGTGGATTCATGTAGAGAAGACCTTTCGATATGAAAAGAGTATTCATTAGAAAGCTTTAATGGAGTTCTTTCATTTTTCTCTAACAACAAGTTCGAGTTTTACGAGATGTTTTAAAAAACCTTCATGTGACACGAATTTCGAATTTATTTTCACGTGCCTCAGGGATATGTCACACGACTATTATTATTATGCATGGGTGATTATTAGCATTGGTATTAGTATTAGTAATTTGGAATAACGAATTTTAAATGAAACTCTTTTATGTGTCCCGTGCACCCGTTGTTGACTGGACTGAAATTGATTAAATATGGAGGTAAACATATGTGTGAAATCGTAAATATATATTTCATAGGTTCATGCATCACTTAAAGAATAATTATTTGGGTAGAATCAATGATTTATTTCTTTTATAAAATAAATCATCATAGTTGTATAAATCGCGTTAGAACGAACAATAATAAAATTATTCCAAAACAGTTATAAAGTATATATGGCATGATCAGCAATGTGTTTTATTTTAATTATAATACGAGTGAGTCTTTAAAACTGGTTTTGATCCCAGATAGCCTGGTGTAGAATTTGGTGGCGCTTCTGAAGTCGATTCATTATGTCAAATGATTTTTCATTATATAAAAAAGGAATATAATATTTTACTACTGGATTGATCGAGTTTTTTTTTTTTTTTTTTCAAGCAAAATGAATGATAATAATTTTAACTTTTTCATCCCTGACCATCCACAAAATAATCCTTCGATTTCTACCTATTCTAATAACATTAATCTCAATAGTAATAACAATAATAATAATAGTGGTGATAACGCGTCTAATATTAACACTTTTGGTGAGAGTTTTCAAGCAGCCAACTTAAACAATAGTCCTCTTGAATTTTTATCTCCGTCACAATCTCAGTTTTCACTTGAAACACAAACTCAATCTTTACATGGACAACATTTACTTCTTGAAACACAACAAACTCTGATTCTACAACAGCCTCATCCTTCGAATCCTCAATTAAGCCATCATCATCAAAATGGGCTCGTTGTTCCTCAACCATATAATCAAGCACAATTTAACACAAGACTTCTTTATAATTACAACAACAACAACAACAACAACAATGCATTAGGTGGAGACCTTGATTTTGTGATTCTAAACTTGGATGATACCATTAAAAATCTTTCAAGAATTTTGAATGATTATGGTATTTTGACTGGACATCTCAACAATGAAATTCAAAATATAAATGCTCTTAATAGAAATGGACTTATTATTCCAAACAATCAAGCAGAATTTAATCTGAACAATCGTAATAATGCACTAGGTGGGAATTTTGATAATGTGTTACTAAATTTAAATGTTATAAATAAAAGTCTTTCAGAATTTTTGAATGATAATCGTATTTTAGCTGGACATCTTAATTATGGGATTCAAAATATCCCAAGACTTCCTTATAACTATTACAACAACAACAACAATCATATCATTGCACGCCTCGTTGGAGCAGTTCAAAATTTAAACAAGATTAATAAAAATATTTCAGAGATTTTGAATGGTCATCGTGTTTTAAGTAGACATCTTGATAATGGAATTCGAAATATCTCAAAACTTTCTTATAATTATTACAACAACAACAACCATAACAATGGACATATTGACAATGTGGTTCTGAGTTTAAATGATATTAATAATAGCCTTTCGGAGATTTTGAATAATTGTGGTGTTTTGGATAGACATCTCAATGATGAAATTCAAAATATAAATGCTCTTAACAGAAATCTTTCAAAGATTTTTAATAATTTTAATCAATAATATTTATTATATTTATTTATTATTCTTTGTAGAAACATGACGAGAATATGTTTTAGCAGTATTACATATAATCATATAATAGTAAAAATAAATTATAATTCATCAAACCTCACAACGTTATTTAAGGTATATGTTTTTGAATTTGTCTTAATATGCTTTTTATTATTACAAAAAGTAAAGTGACCTTGCTGCTATATATTTACTAAAAATATTGAGATAAATTTGACCATTGGAAGCTTGACGCTAAATTAGTAATATCAGCCAGATAATAACTTTTTTTCTTTGTACAATAATAAAAGAATTTCTATTCGTTACTTAGAATGACAATAAAAAAAAACTTGCCATTCATTTGCCCCACCCAAAAAAATACAATATTCTTAGCAGAATAAAAGGTGATAATAATAATAATAACGGTGGTGAGTTAAGAGATATGTCATTGAATAATAATTAGTAGTATTAACAATGAACCATTCATTACGTAGTAAGTAGTAATAACAATAGCAGTGATAACAGTAGTAGTAATAATAGTGAACCATTAGGTAATGGTAATTATGGTGAACCTTTCGTTCGTGAAAGGGATTTTGAATGGATTAATTGAATCTATTACATCTGATGTTTTGGGTTAAATTCCCGTTTAAGTTCAATTTCAACTATTCAAAAAAGGCCCGCTCAACATGTAAGAATTAATGTTAGTTGGACATGCAAATATTTTGAAAAAATACAACAATAATAAAATTTGTAGAATTTGTAAAACTATTTGTTTGGTAGAGCTAATAAAAAGTAATTTTACCAAATCTTGCCACGCAAGCAAGAATTTACTTAGCAATACCGGCAAGCTCGGTACCATCTGAGAAGTTATCTTCGCCGGGAATTTATTTACAAAAAAAAAGAAACAGACAGACTTAGTAAAATAATATTCTTGATGTTCTTTTTTTAAAGAAAATTCAACCCTTTTTTAAAACTATTATTTTTTAGTAAATTTACATGTATTAAAATATATTCATGGCTAACAATTGGTTGTTATCGCACCACATACAGCTTCTTGTGAGAGAATTGGTCGATTTGTGGATGGTTATTTGGAAGAAAGTTCATAGTTATTATGCCTTAAATTGCAAGGAAGAATTGAAATAGTAGATGAAATATTTCTGAAAATGAAATATAGAAAACTTTTTTGACAGCTCAAGATGATAATGAGGAAGGAAATGAAGATGATATAGAAATGTCTTCACTAGAAGAAGAAAATAATGATGTGAATGTTAATGAGGAACTTCCAGAATCTTATTATTCAAAATACAATGGATTTAACTCATAAGATCCAGATGACAGTTTATCTGAGATGACAAAGACAGATCTGAAAATTTATCTGGAGAAGAAACCATGTTAGCCATAATGATAATGAGGAAGGATATGATCCAAATAAATTGACATCATCATTTATGTAGTTTTATTGTGGCATTGTTTTTGTTAGATTGGATTAAACAATAAAATCCGAGATTAAAATACATGCAAATTTTAATCATATTGGGAGTTCCACCCACAGTTTAGGATTTGGCCCATGGTTTAGGAGTTTCGTTCACGGCTTAGGAGTTTTGCCCACAGTTTAGGCAATTTAGGCCTAAATCGAGATTGCCTAAATTCCTAAACTATGTGATAGTTTCGGTCATCATCATTAAAATAGAGTGAAGAAAAACGGGGAGAATAGCTGAATAAAACAAATAAATAAATTTAAAGAAATATTAGCGTTGGAGTGTTGTGTGAGATTTTTTAGTGGTCAGTGTTAATAAAATTTACTATATACAAAATGATCTATTTTTCATATTCAATGCTCTTTTTATGTAATTTAACCTGGATAATTTGAATGGGTTCTTTTCAACTATACGAGTTTTATTTTTTGAATTGGCAAATGGTGCAAAGTTGTGACACATGCATAAAACTTGTTTATTAAATTTTGTTTTGTTTAATATAATTTAACTTTAATTTTTTTTATGTTCCAAAAAAAAACAAATAATAGATTGTCGATAACCTCAGTTGTACAATTAATATTTCCATATACATTATGATAATGAGTGAACACACTCCATTTATTTATTATTTATGTGTTGGATGGTGTATGTAATATTAGACGTACCTCTGGTGATAATGATTCACATTTAACTTTATATCACTCGTGTGTATATAAAAGTTGCCTACATACCGACACAGCCAAAGCGAACCCACTGGTTTCCAAATTTTTGATGAAAATCTCCTTATAACGAACATATTAACATTAAATTTATAATATAAGGTGTAAAGAGTATGATGGCGATTTTTAAATTTTGACAACCACATCAGAAAAATAAATCTTACGTAAACTCACGTAGGTTTCAAATTGACCAGCATGATGTCAAACTCTTGGTAATTCTAGTAACAATTTCGCATAATTTTAAAATTTATTTTCCTGATGCTAACCATCCATTAAAATTTTCTTTGCAATTTAGTGTATTTATTTATGTCTCCAAAAATGACCGGATTTGAAGATAAACTTTGTTGCATCCATAAATATAAAGCAACTTCAAATTCAGGAATTTTTCTTCTTCTTTTAACACACATTCGGAACTAATGATGTTGATACTTGCGACTGTTTTAACGATATTTTCTATAGTTTAGAATGGATACCATTTGCATATTTCTTTTTTATCCGTGTTTAAATTTATAAAACAACTTGAAGCTTTCACAATGAATAAAGTCATCTACTTATAATGTAAAGATTTATTTCATGTGGGTCTTTTTTGTCATTAATATAAATCGTTTTTTAATAAAAAAATGGCTATGCAATCTTTTTTAAAGCAAAAGGCTAAGTTATTCATTTATAATAGCTTAATATTAAAAGAAGATACCGTTAAGATTTTTGGTGGAATTCCAATCCATCCAATTCCTATTGAATATTCTTGAGAGTAATAAATTTAATAATAAAAATTAATTTCAAGCTTTTTATACAATCTCGACAAATATATATATATCGTTATTCAAAAGCACGTATATTAATAATGCGATCTGCCATCTGCTATTTACGCATATCAGATTCAGCGGATTGAACGAATAATCCAATAAAATATTGTCATATAAATATATAGCAATAACAATAATTTTATGATATCCATAAATTTAATTTAACAAAATGTGTAAAAGAATTTAGCAGAAAAATCATAAAGTATTATTTAGATGAAACAAAGCTGAAAATGTTTTTTATAACCCAAAACTAAACTTAAAAACAAAATGAAGAAAGAATGAAGGGAACCGATTTTTGAAATCCAATTTGTTGATTTTCATTTTGTTAGTATTAGTATTAGTATGAGAGGTTTGTCCACTTGTGACGGTCTTTGAGTATTTCAAAGTCAAATTGCAAACCAACGCATTCGAGCAATAAATTTATTTCAAATGAAAAACTATGATAACTATTGCAATTTTTGCTCGAATTATTCATTTTATTTCGGTTATTCGTTTTATTCAAATTATTCGTTTATTCGAATTATTATTATTATTCGAATTATTATTATTACTCGAAGTATTTGAATTACTTGTTTTAATCGAATTATTCGAATTATTCATTTTATTTCGAACTATCCGTTTATTCATTTATTCGAACTATTCGTTTTATTCAAACAGTTCGTTTATTCGTTTTGTTTGAAATTTCGAATTATTCATTTACTCGAATTATTATCAAGTCTAGAAAAAATTAAAAAAAAAAAGAGACCGTTATAAAGAAAAGAAAAATAAATTGCAATTAATTAGGAAATGTAAAATGCCGATAAGAATAACTGTAATTAAATAGCAAGAAAGAATTTTGAGCATTAGTAGAACCCATGGTTTGAATTAAGAAATTAAATTTTATTTCGTGGAACATTTGAAATAATTTAATTTGTGTAACAACAAAATATTTACTTGCGGAAACAAAACAATTTATTAATATTAACATACAATGAATCAAAACCGAGAGATGAAATAAACAAAATTTACAAAGAATAAATTAATTATAATAGCTTTAGAAGGAGAAAATCAGCAATAAAATACCTGAAGAACTAAGTACTATGAGTGCGGCTAGTACAAGTGCAAATTCTAGTGGCTGAAGGAAAGTACATAATTACACCATAACAAGAATCAAACAGGCATGAAGAAAATAAGCAAGCAATCTGACAATCGATGGACCAAAGAATTATATCAAACACGAAAGGAATGGAACGTTGAAAAATTGAAAATTCAAGGTCAAGTGGACTTGGGCTAAAGGAAAAAAGGAAAACGGGAGATAGAGAAGAAATAATTCATCTGGATGATGAATAGTAACATGCGTTTATCTAGATTCTGTAGATATGTCAGTTCATATGGTACCAAGAAATAATTGCGAGAATGAATATTTTGTTAATAAATATATCTTTTAATAATAAAACTGTCAGTGATTAATTTCGTATATAATCTTTGTTGTTAATTATCTTGGTGACTAATTTCATATATTATTATCTTTATCGTTAATTATCTTGGTAATTAATTTCAATGATGTTAAATATCGTTATATATCGTAAGATAATTATCGAAAATTATCTACTTCGTTAATTTTCGTTTTTTTTTTTATTGAGATAAATACCGATAAATGATATATCTCGATATTTATCCCAAAAAAATTTCCTGATGAATGCAATAAAATCCATTACCGATCCTTTTCTTTTATCAAAATCATCATTCGAGAGAAAAGAGTTAACATCAAGATTATTTAATGAGCCATCATTAATTGTATAACTCTTTGATTTAATTTCTAATATTCTACTTGTGCGATATGCTTTCGGATGTGGTCTGTGTACTTGTAGTAAATTACTATAATCACTACCACTAGTACTATTATTATTAAGAATTTCCTCAAACTTTTTAGCTGAAAAAGTCCAAAGCTCTGCAGCAGTTGGTCTCTTGGTTGGATCCGCATCCAAACATCTCTGTATCATTTGTGCATAATCATCAGGCATTCCAGGTAACATTGGTGGTCGTAGACCTCCACATATATCAAAAATTAGACAATGATTGTGAGCTCTACCATCAAATGGTGGATGTCCTGAAAATATTTCCCACATTAACATCCCAACACTATAAACGTCGGTTTCCTTTGTGTATTTTGTATTAATTCTGCCTCTAAGTAGCTCAGGCGCAACATAGGGTATGATTCCGTAGACCTTATCTGATGATTTTTCATCAACTGGCCCACATAATCCTAAATCTGTAATATAACAATTTCCCCCATCCATTAATATATTACCACTGTGTAAATCACAGTGTATTAAATCTTTTTCATGCATCTGATATAATGCATTACATAAATACCCAAAAATTATAATTCTATCTTTTAAAGTTAAATTTAAGTGATTTTTTTGTAAATAATCCCTTAAATTTCCTTCTGAATAAATTAAGACCATTGCATAATTTCCACTATCTGGGAATTTAGTTATACCATAGCAAGGAGCAATTACTTGCGATTTAATTTTACAGTAATTCATTGCCTAAAATTGAATATAAAATCGATTGGTATTACATAATGCAAAATTATTTATTTTCGTTTTTTAATCACAACTACCAACCTCATCAAAAAAGCTTTTTCCCGGATTACTTGAATAATTTAAATTTTTTAATACTACTCTTTGGGCACCAAAATAACTAAAGTCCTTTTTATTTACATCATAATCATGAATAGTCCCTCTTGTCCATTCCGCAGTATAAATTGAACTAAATCCACCTTCAGTTAATTTTGAAATATTTTCAAATTGTTCAAAAGGTATCCATTCTATGATGTAGTCTGGCAGAGACGAGATAATTTGACATTGTTGAATAAAATTATCAACTATTGCGTTCCCAGATGTCCAGGTAGTGAAAAGACTCTGTAATTGTAAACAAATACATCCTTCACAGAATCTATCAGAATATCTTGGTAATTTACATTTGCTGCATTCTTTGGGTTTTCCCAATCTATCTTTTGAATTGTTTAGTTCCAAATCATAAAGAAACCTTCCTATACAATATCCTTTTTCATTTTCAGAAAGCTCCTCGTTTTTTTTGACCAGTGAAAAAAAACAATCTTTTCTACTTGCTTCATCAGAATTAACCATTGCATGGTTATACATTTCATTATCAATTTTAAATACTAACTCCCTTCTTTCTAATGATAATAATTTAATATATGACATTGTATAAAAATAAGTAAAAGCAAAGATTTTGACAATATTTGCTATACATGATGATTTCTTTTCACACAAAATTGATTACATGTAACAAACAATTCTATTAAGATTACTTACTGAAACTTTGCCAAAACTCTAAAGCCAAACAATATGTCACAGGAAGTGTAATACATATAAAAAAATCCAGATATCCGCAAAAAAATCTAGATTATCATTACTATACCACAACATGAGAAAATCCCTTCACCATATTATTAGAACCAATATTAAATTAACCAAAGCAATTCAAAAACCTTTTGTAAAGCGTATGTTGAAAAATCAGGAGAAGAGGAGGTAAAGAGTTCAAAATAGAAATGTCTAATTTAACATTTTCAAAACCAAATTTTTCTATAATTATTTTATCTCGGTTTAACGGATTTAATGGATTTTCATATAAATTCGGTTTATTATTATCGGATATTTTTTAAAAATTCATATGTCACTAATAATAATAAATTTTTCTCGATATTACGGACGATAATGGTGATACTTACTATTCTGAGCTAACAAGTAATGACGCACAATTGTTCTTGGCAATGACACTATCAATATGTCATTTCTTTTTATTTCTTTATATGCTAATGGTTAAAAATTGTTTGTTAATGATTAAAAATAGTTTGGGAAAAACTAATATAATTAATCAAAATACAACTGATTTGATGGTTGATGAAAATCGATCAGAAATAAATAAAATAAACAGTTTGATCACTCAACTTTTCTTTCAAGATCGTCTAGATGCCAATGAATATGTTATGATTGACCAAAATCTTCTTGTTCAAGAAGAAATGACAACACAAGAAATCGTAAATATTGTAAAAGGACAAAATGAAGTTGGTGATGACGATGAAACAAATGAACCTAATATAAAAGCTCTGGAAACTGTACTTAAATATGTACAGCAAAAAAATTTAGAAATGTCAAGAGATTAAAAATTGAAATTTCTTACAAAAATTCTCAAGAACAAGTGCAAACAATAATGGAAGATTATTATAATGTCAACTTTTAAGTGAATGATTTTTTTTTGATTTTTTACCAACTGTATTTTTATTATAATTTATTATTTGCATTCATATTATTCAAAAATAAAAATAAAAATAATTTTTTAACGTAACGTGTATCACATGATTTAATCAAAAATAGATCAGTATAATGGATGACTCAGTATAGCGGATAAATTTCTGGAGCAAACATATCCGTTATACCGAGATCCACTGTGTAGTTCTTTTTTAAACACTTTTGTGTTCGGAAATTAAACAGTAGGGTTTGATTGTCCGTTTGGTTATCAGAGTGGTATAGAACTCTGAAGTTTTGGTTATTTGCTTTGGTATAAGTAAAGGTTTTGTTTTGGGTATTTGCTTTAGTAAAGAAAACAAACGTTTAATTTTCAAGCATAAACGTTCTTATTGTAATTGTTAAAACTATTGGCAAAAGTATTAAGTGTCAACAGTTATTGACCACCTATACAAAATCATTATCACATATTGATTATTGTTTTTAAAGTAATTGTTGCAAAAGTATGGATGACTTCAATTGGCCCAAGAAAAGTAAAAGTAAAGCAAATAAACTATATAGGAGCATTTGTTGCTTGGTAGAAGGGCCATCTTTATTTATTGTAATTTGTTGTTAATCCATAAAGTATGTTTACAGATCCGTCAAATCTTTCTAGGTATAAGAAAGAGACAACAAGCAAGATAATTTCGTAAAAAATTTATATTTTCTCCATGAATGTCCGGGACGGGACAATCTGTGTCTGTATCCACTGACAACACTGAATATGTCTGTCTACCTATAACTTGACATATTTATCATTATTATTATTGTATACGATTATCTGTTGTTGTGCTCAATATTTTGGATATTTATCAACTTTAATTATGAATATTGATAATAAGTGCTATTAAATAATGTTCCTTAAATTGATTTTACCGTTGCTTTCTCGTAATTTTGTAACTATTTTCATAATTATTAAAAACAATCAACAGATCATTAACAATAATATAACAGATTAAAGACTACATCTTCAAAATAATCAATTCGATTTTTATGGCATGTGAAATAAGAACACTAAACTTTACTATTCTTTTAATCGCTGAAATCATAAATAGTGCGTGCGGCCTTGTCGTTTGAGCGCGTAAATTTGCAATTAAAAAGAAAATCGATTGATTGATGTATTGTATAATATGATGTATAATAATATAAAACTTACCAACATTCATTCATAGACGTGACTGTATTATGTTTTTCATGCTCCACACAAGTAAAAAGGAATACTATTGTTGTTATAAATTATAATTGTTTTTATCATTTTATTATTATTACATACTCAAATAGCTTTCTTGAGAAATTCTTCTAGTTTCACGGTTTGCTTGCTCCTCCATGATAAGCAAATTTTCTGATGGACAGCCTGGACATTCATTCCTTGTAAATTTTCATTAGATAATCCTTTGGTGTTGTTTGGTATCCCTCTTCCAAGCCCTTCATTTGCTTGATAATGACGTCCTTACTCCATATATAAATAATTGTATGATCAATGTCATCATCTTGATCAGTACCGCCACCAAATGAAGATAATTCTTTATTACTTGATCGATCAATACAAATTCTGTAGCCTGAAACTCTTAGTTTAGGTTTAGGCTTAAAGTAGGTTCTCAACCAAAATATTGAGGGAATTCAAGATCGCCTCATTGATCAGCACTTTCAGTTCATTCATGGTTTGACAACATTATATTTAGGAATTTATTTCAGAAAAATAGGTTCCATACCATCATTAATTATCAAATACACTACTAATTCACACGCGTAAAATGTTAGTAAAACGAAAAAAGAAAAGTACTTGGGAGATTCAAACAAGCAAGTATTATTAGAGGATGATTTTCGATTGGGCGTTATTCTAATTGACTGAAATAGTCAAAAAAGAAAAAAGATAAATTGAAGATGTAATACGATAATTTAAGCAAACAGACTTGTTTTTTTAAATACATTTTATTTATATTTTTCCTACTGTATTCACATATATGCATGCGTGTGTGTATATATATATATAGCATCACAATTTGACCGATTGAATAAGGAATTTAATGATCGAAAATACAACATTGGAAAAAGAAAATATAGCATTAGAAAAGGCATCGACATCTAAATGATGTAGATAAGAAGAAACCATAATGAAAATAAAAAAAGGCGTCATTAAAATTTGCTGTTTATTTTAATATATATTTGGAAAAATCAATAAAATTTGCCTTTATTAAATGAAGTTTCATAGATTTAAAAAAAACAAAAGTTCTTGTTATGATTATAAAATCACCAAATGATCTTCTGATGATTCATTATTTTTATTTAATATAATGCATCAAGAACAATTTCACCATTTAACTTTTTATATAATATGTTTATGCTTCATTTTAATTTTTTTGCCATTAACAATTTATAATCAAGTAATGCAACATCTAAATCTCTTCCACTCGTACTCAAAAACACTTTATCAATAATGCCATCTAATTATAAACATAATATACACACATTTAATAATCAATTAATTTAATTGATCTCAATAATAATGAAAATAATAAAAAATACCTTTTTTGATTTTCTTATTTGATTGTTTGTTACCAAGTTCATTTATTTCTTTTAATATCACACTAATATTTTCTAGAATTAATATCATAAGATTATATTATTATATTTATTAGTTGTTTAAAATTAAATTAGTTAAGGATTACCTTGTAGATCTTGAATTGGCCAAAACGTCTAAATCATCATTAAAAAATTCATTATCAAAATAAGCCTTTCCAATATAAAGCATTTATCTTTGTTCTTACTTACTTTGCCAACATCATTACGAATAAATCCTTTTTCATCTGTTTTGATTTCTGTTTTACTTGCCAACATATTGATTGTTTCTGCTGGATTTTTGGTTAGAGTTCCTTTCTTTTCCGTTGGCATTAATTGTAAAGGACCTAAAACCTTAGCAATTTTGTTTTTCATCTCAGGATATATTCCAAATGTTGATAAGCAATTGCTAATATTACTAAAATCAAAACTTCCCTCTAAAATCTAGGTAAAAATAAAATATTGTTATTTGTCATTTTTATATATAAAAAAATAAATCACTAATTTAAATGATTTTTTTTTACTTTTTGAATTAATTTTTCTCCTCCCACAACAACACTTGCTGTTTCTATATTTTCTAATTCTTTGGCTTCTTCTTCCTAAAAATCATTAAATCTTTTATCATAAAATTCAACAAATTCAACAAATCCAACAAATCAAAACCTCAATAATTAAAAATATTGATCAATTAGTTACAGTTGCAAATACTAAAAAAGTAAACCTTTTGGCCTTTGGTAAAACTTTTGCTAATGTAACTGACCCACGAATAGTCGGAGTAACTTTTTCAGAAATTTCATTTAATTGAACTTTTAATCTACAAATGCTATGCTCATTACCCACTTCTAACGCCTAATAGATAACATAATTATTATTAAATTAATAACAAATGGGTAAATTTTATTTTTAATGTATTCACCCTAAAAATATTTATAGTATCCATGAATTCAAGAGCATTTGGAGGAATTTTTTGTATTCCTTTCCTAGCATAATTTCTACGCTGTATCGAAAAATATGTATCATTATTATTAAATTTAGAAATTTTTAAATTTTTAATCAAGTGTGACTTTTTAATAAAGTGTGACTTTTTAATAAAGTGTTCTTTAGATATTTTAAAAAGTTGCAAGTTGATGGACATTTTTTTTTTTTTTTTTGATAAATTTGAAAGATTGATATTTCCTAAAATTTGTAGATCGATATTTTGTTTGCCGTTACGATGATAAAATTCTCAATATAATATGTAATAGTAATATTAATTGTAAAGTTTCTATCACAACAATGCATTTTTTTTTATAAATATTTTTAAGATTATGATGTAGATATGTGATTTTGAAATATAAAATCTGCCTACAGTCAAATCTCGTTGTAACAGACCCTCCTCCCTCTCCCTTTTCAAGTTCAAGATCAACAACCATTAAAGCCAGTTCTATGCACCGGAAAGAAATTACTCACACTTCCCAATATTGATAAAGATACAATGGAAGTTTCCTCCAATCAAAAGGATTTAACTTGTTAAATCAATAACGCAGAAATCTTATAATGTATCCTGAATGTTTTTTTTTTAAATTTTGTTTTGATTTTTGTTTATATAGTAACTTTACTTATCTTAAAAAATTTTTAAAAATAAATTCTAGAATTATAATCGGAAAGAAATAAATATATCTCACATCTATTACATTAATTAGTTATTATTATTATTATTAATTATTATTATAAATAAACAAGATTTACTCGGTAAATTTTATGAAACAATAATTCATTATGATTGTATATAAAAACACATTTAAAAAATACAATCCATATAGTCAACTATTTGGTGAACTTCCACTACTTTGCACTGGATCAGATGGGCCAATATCAAAATATTCTGCTAAAAATACCCCAAATATTAAATTTAGATTATGCACCGTGTTTGGATCAATTGCTGAAATGTCATCCTAATACATAATAATTATTATATTATTATTATTTCTCAAGTTAATAATAACTACAAGATAAATTTAATTAACTCTTACACTTAAAGTATGCCATACACTAGGAAATGGATCAGCAATTAAGTGCAATACAGGAACACCTCTTGTTAAAAACGGTACATGATCATCTTCGATATGAGATTGATAGGTGTTTAAAGATCCTTCGTCGAACATTGGAACTTCCTCAGTACTTTGTGTCATATCAATTTTTTTCAACAGATTTAATTCGCCTAATTTTTTTTCAATGCCTGCCATTTCTTTAAACAACCATGATGTCGTTTGGAAATAATTTACTAAAGTTGGTCTTTTTGCTCCTAATAAATCAAGTAGAATTAACGTCTCTATTCCATCTAACATTGAATGTGCTTTATAAGGAAGTGATGTCGTTTCGTTTGCTATTGTGGATTCCCATTTTGCCGCTAAATGTCTTGATAATTTATATTTATAATTATATTTATATATAATTAACATCTAAAAATCTAATTTTAATCATCTAAATTAATTTTAATTTTTAATTACCTTGAACCATATAATGAATCAGTTGATGTCCATGTATCGAATGCTTCTTCTCCATCAAAGAAAATTATTTGAAGTGTTAAATCATTACTTTTCAAATGTACATCAAATCTATTAGCCAAGTCGATTAGAAGAGCGCAGGGTAAAGCAGAATCAGTGGCACCAACAAATTGATCGTTAGGTGGTAAAAAATATTTACTGTCATAATGTGCGGCTAATACCAATCTTTTTGCCGCATTAATATTTTTTGTCACTATAACATTATTAAATGTTATTTCTCCAATTGGTGTAATGTCTGTAAATTTATCTTCTTCTATTGTCCAATTAAGTTTTAGAAAATTGGATGTTATGTATTCTTTTACCTTTGTGTTATTCTGTGTCCCGGGTACTCTTGGAATTAATATATCATTTAAATAATTCATAACTTTTGAACTTTCTGAATCTGACAAATTTCCAAATAACTTAACTCCTTCATCAGATAATTTGGAATATCCATTTATAAAATTACAGCAAAATATTGTAGAAATAAATAATTTTATGACGAATTTTATTATTATCATTTTTTCAGGAATATATCAACATATGATTTAAGGCAAGTAAATTTTTTTATAAACTCATCGAGTATGCAATTAAATTATTGTTACACTAAACCCAGTTAACCATTTTGGATTTAGGTTTTTTGATCTTCCCAAACAAAAAATATATATACTAATACGCGACATGCAAATTACACTAATACATAACAGGCAGGACCGTTAACTTGACTTGAAATAAATATATTGCACAAAATAACATTTTAAAAGCAAAAGTTTTTTAAAAAAATTTTTACTACAATCAAGTCTTAATTAATTATCAAATATAAATGAGTTGGATTTGTTTGAACTCACGAGAAAAGTCTGCAATACTTCAGACAGTATAATTACATATCTAAATACAACTACGAATTGGCTGCTATCAATTGTTAACTATACAGAAGCATGCAAAGCATGCGGCTACTATGTTCACAGCCAGTGTAATTTTTCTAATATTCAAAAACTCTGAATACTTTTTCATTGTCTTTCACGTGACTTGGTTTTATTATTATTATTTTAATTGGTAGATCTCAATAGACAAATAATTTTGGATAAATAATTTTGAAGATATCCTGTGTCAATCAAATTTCACTAATTTAAACAAAACTTGTACTCAACTTTCACTTTAATCTAATTTTACGCGTTTTTTACAAAATGCCGCGTATTGCAAAAGCATCTCAACCAAATGGTGTTGACAGCACTACAGATTCGATTGCTTCTAGAACCAGAAACAGACTCAAAACATCTTCTTCCGCAAGTACAAGTAAGTCTGCTAATAGCAACACTACTAATAAAACAACTACTCCTGCAACTCCAATTACCACTCCAACACAAAAAAGAAAACCAAAATCCCAGGTGACTTTAGATGTTGATACTGTTGGATCTTCAAAACTTGTTGCTACAACTACTACCACTACTACTCCAAATAAAAAAACCCCAAAATCCCAGGTGACGAGGGATGTTGATGCCGTTGGATCTTCAAAACTTGTTGCCACAACCACTACTACTCCAAATAAAAAACAACCAAAATCCCAGGTGACGAGGGATGTTGATACCGTTGGATCTTCAAAGCTTGTTGCTACAACTACCACCACTACTGCTCCATCCACTACAACCAAAAGAAAACCTGTTGCTACAACTACCACCACTACTACTCCATCCACTACAACCAAAAGAAAACCTGTTGCTACAACTACCACCACTACTGATCCATCCACTCAAAACAAAAGAAAGCTTGTTGCCACAACTACTGAACCATCCACTCCAAACAAAAGAAAGCCTGTTACCACAACTACCACCACTACTGATCCATCCACTCCAAAAAAAAGAAAATCTGTTGCCACAACTACCACCACTACTGATCAATCCACTCCAAATGAAAAAAAACCCAAATCCCAGATGACGATAGATGTTGATACCGTTGGATCTTCAAAACTTGTCGCTACAACCGCCACCACCACTGCTCCATCCACTCAAAACAAAAGAAAACTTGTTGCTGCAGCAACAACTACAACTGCTCCACCCACTCCAAACGAAAGAAAACTTGTTGCTACAACTACCACCACCACTACTTCATCCACTCCAAACAAAAGAATCTCCAAATCCCAGGTAACGATGGATGTTGATACTGTTGGATCTTCAAAGCTTGTTGCTACAACTACCACCACTACTGCTCCATCCACTCCAAACAAAAGAAAATCAAAGTCCCAGGCGACAATGGATGTTGACACCGTTGAATCTTCAAAACTTGTTGCTACAACTACCACCACCACTACTCCACCCACTCCAAATAAACGTGGGAGAAAACCAAAATCCCAAGTAACAATGGATATTGATCCTCCAGAACCTGTTGCTTCCAATACTCTGCCCATTCAATCTCAGGAGATTATGGATGTTGATACTACTGAACCTTCAAAATCTCTTAGCAAAGAAGAAAAAAGAGTGATTGTTGATTTAGGTGATGCTGATATTCCTGATGGAGAAAAGGATGCCGTTGTCTCTGATAGTATTGATGAAACAATTTTTAAAAGAATGAATCCTATTTCATTCCTCAATTTACTTTATTATCGAACCAGGTCTCAAAAAAATCAAAGACGACCATATTATCATTGGGAAATTGATGAAGATAGATTATGGAATTGTAAACTCAATTATCTTGATAAAACATGGGTGTCTTGCAAAAGTAAAGATCGGAGATCGGCAAAATTCAATGTAGCATCACAAGCTACATTAGAAATTTATTCAAATACACCTGATGTTAGTAATGAAATCAAGAAAATTTTGCTTAGGATGACAGAGAATCATATAGTCTTGTTTTAAATTTTGTCGATTTTTTTTATCATGATAATTATATTATATTGAAAAAGAAATTAAAAAATTTGTTATTGCTTTTTATTTTTTATATACACATGGAAAAATTAATAAAATTTCCTTTTAAATGAAGGTGATTTAAAAAAACAAAATTTCTTGTTCACAAACCATTTAAATTTTTATATAATATGTTGATGCTTCATTTTTTTTCATTAACAATTTATAATCAAGTGCAACATCTAAATTACTTTACCAATAATTATAAATATAATATACACACATTAATAATCAATTAATTTAATTGATCTCAATAATAATAAAATACATTTTTTAATTTTCTTATTTGATTGCTTGTTATTTCTTTTAATACTATTTATTAATTGTTTAATTAAGGGGCTACCTTGTAGAACTTGAATTGGCCAAAACGTCTAAATCATTAAAAAATTCATTATCAAAATAAGCCTTTCCAATATGAAGTATTTGTTTTTGTTCTTACTTACTTTGCCAACATCATTACAAATAAATCATTTTTCATCTGTTTTGATTTTTGTTTTACCTGCCAACATATTAATTTTTTCTGCTGGATTTTTGGTTAGAGTTCCTTTCTTTTCCGTTGACATTAATTGTAAAGGACCTAAAACCCTAGCAATTCGCTTTTCACACCAGAATATATTCCAAATGTTGGTAAGCAATTGCTAATATTGCTAAAATTAAAACTTAAATTTTTTTATTTTTTGAATTAATTTTTCTAGAGGTTGGAATCGACTAAAACAGTCGACTAATTAGTCGACTACTAATACTAATACTAATACTAATACTAATACTAATACTAATACTAATACTATGCTAATATTATTATTGTCTGATCAATTACAATTTTGTGTTTTATCATTCAGAACGGAAAATTTCTATGCGGAAGGGTATTAATACCATCAATATGATGATGACGACAATAGTAGTGTGTTGTCGATGATAATTTTACATGTGAATGAATAAACACTTCCAATACAAGGTCCAACAGTTCATTGGCTTCGAGTTCCAATGATTTAAGCGGTGGTTCCAGAAGACCTTTAAAAAAACGAATCGTAACACATGGTTTGTGTGTAAGTATTTTGAAAAAGTGAAAGATTCAAATGGAAATGAATTCGTAATTTGCAAATTAAAAAAAAAGTTATTATTATAAAAAAAAAATTTAGTTGACTAAAGAAATTTTTGACCAACTAGTAGTCGGCTAGAATTTTTGGACGCGATACTAAAAAAGTAAACCTTTTGGCGTTGGTAAAACTTTGTTAATGTAACTGACCCACGAATAGCTGGAGTAAATTTTTCAGAAGTTTCATTTAATTGAACTTTTAATCTACAAATGCTATGCTCATTGCCCATTTCTAACGCCTAATAGATAACATAATTATTATTAAATTAAAATAATAAATGGGTAAATTTTATTTTTAATGTATCCACTAAGAATACTTATTGCATCCATGAATTCAAGAACATTCGAAGGAATTTTTTGTACTCCTTTTCTAGAATAATTTCTATCAAGCGTGATTTTTAATAAAGCGTTCTTTAAATATTTTAAAAAGTTGCAAGTTGATAGACTTTTTTTTTTTTTGATAAATTGAAACTTATAGATCAATATTTTGTTTGCCTCGCAATAATAAAATTTTCAATGTAATATTAATATTGATTGTAAAGTTTCTTTAAAAAAAAAATCGCACATCTCGAATTTCAATAATGCATCTTATATTTTTTTATTTAAAAATTTTTTAATATAAATACGTGATAATTAAATCTCGTAATAACGACCCTCGTTGTAACGGGTTTCAGACATTTAAAATCCGTTATAACGAATCTACTAGTACTAGTACTAATATAGTCACGTTATAATAATAACGGTTTTATTATGATAATAATCAATTAATTGCTTATAGTAACAACTGGTAGCTTCAAAATACTAAATCAAAAAAGTTTCATAACATTTTAAAAAGTTAATCGATAAATTTTATTGTTCGTGACTCAAGCTTCAAAACCTATCGGCTAGGTTTTCTGAATTGGCAGAACCTTAACATTTTGAAAATTCCAAATTTTGTTATACAAAGCAAACTTTGTGTAACTAAAATAATTTTTTCATTAGAATACTCTTTCTTTACAAAATATATTGATTGATTTATTATTTCCTTTTTTTATTAATGATAAAAGTTCTTATTATATATTTACAACAAAAGGAAATCATTATCGAATTTGGTCATGTAATTCAAAATGTCGTAACACGAAAATTATTTATTGCATTTCTGAGCATAACTCTCAACTTTAGAAAAAAACTTGAGACGGATTTTTTACATGAATTGACACCCTTTTTAAAGCTGAACTGAATGGTGGTGGTTTTTAAAATCTTACATGTGGATCACATAATATTTCAAATTTTGAGTATAGATGACCCGCACTGTATATAATATTAAAATTCGTTATAACACGTATTCAATTAGGTTACGTTCGCTATAACGAGGTTTGTCTGTATATAAAAAAAAATTGATTGCCAATCATCTTTACAATTTAAATAAAAAATTTTAAAATTTAATATACAAGAAATTAAAAATGGAAAAATATCTTGATCCAAAAAAAGCTTTAAATTATTTATCAGAATATAAAAATTCTGACGGCTTATCAGCCAAAAATCTTATAGATTCACATAAACATGGAGGCTTAACTTATAATGATTTTCTTATTCTACCAGGATACATTGATTTCTTGTCTTCTGAAGTAACTTTAGAAACAAAGATTACAAGAAACATCACCTTAAAGACTCCTTTTATGAGTTCACCGATGGATACAGTCACTGAGACTAATATGGCTATAAATATGGCTGTCAGTTTTAATTTTTAGTTTATTAAAATTTAACAGATATTTGTTTTTTACTCTCAATTTTTGTATAAATGACTTTTTTTTTAATTGATTAGTTATTAGGTGGGGTTGGCGTGATCCATCATAATTGTTCGTCTGATGAACAAGCTGAAATGGTTAGAAAAGTGAAAAAATTTGAAAATGGCTTCATAACAGATCCAGTATGTTTAACTCCAAATCATACAGTGGCTGATGTACATAGGATTAAAGCTCAATTCGGTTACAGTGGCATTCCAATTACTAGTAAATATGATTATTATTTTTTTTTTTTTGTATTTATTTTTTATTAAAAAATTTTGATTTTTATCTTTAAAATGATTATTAATATTTTTAAAAAAATTTATCTAGCTAATGGAAAATTATATAATATATTACTTGGTATTGTTACTGCTCGTGATATTCAATTCCATGAAGATCACACCACATTACTTCGAGAAGTGATGTCAACTGATCTTGTAGTGGCACATGAAGGAGTAACTCTTGAAGAGGCAAATCAAATACTTCGATCTAGTAAAAAAGGAAAATTACCAATTGTCAATTCTCGTGGTGAATTAGTTTCTTTGCTAGCCAGATCTGATCTATTGAAAAATATTAATTTTCCATTGGCCTCTAAATCTGCTCACTCCAAACAATTGATATGTGCTGCATCCATTGGGACACGTCATGAGGATAAAACAAGATTACACAAGTTGGTTGGGGCTGGTCTAGATATTGTTGTGTTGGATTCAAGTCAAGGCAATTCCATTTTTCAAGTTGAGATGATCAAATATATTAAACAAACTTACAATGATTCATTGGAAATTATTGCTGGTAATGTTGTTACCAGAGAACAGGCTGCAAATTTAATTGAAGCTGGTGCTGATGCATTACGTGTTGGAATGGGAAGTGGTAGTATATGTATTACACAAGAAAGTTAGTATGTACAAAAAAATTGTTGTTGTGTTGTTGTTGTTGTTGTTGTTAATATTTGATTTCACAATATATAATCAATTATTAGCTATAGCAACAACAACAATAATGATAATTGCAATAATAATAACAATGACAATAATAATAACAAATTTTTATTACTATTAAGTTATGGCTGTAGGTCGTCCACAGGGTACAGCTGTTTATAATGTAGCAGAATTTTCAAATAGATTTGGTATCCCAGTTATTGCTGATGGAGGTATACAAAACGTGGGTCACATTACAAAAGCCTTAGCATTGGGTGCATCTGCTGTAATGATGGGTGGATTGCTTGCTGGTACCACAGAATCACCTGGTGATTATTATTATCATGATGGCCAAAGATTAAAAAAATATCGTGGTATGGGATCATTGGATGCTATGGAACGTGTAATCAACATTAACACTGTCAGTAGCACTATTATTAATAATAGTGCTAGTAACAGCAATAATAATGGTAGTATCACTACAAGTAAAAGTAATAGTAGTGGTGGTGTTAGTATTGTTGGTGGTGATGACATTGATAAAGTTGACAATGCATCAACAAAAAGATATTATTCTGAAAGAGATGTAATTAAAGTTGCACAGGGTGTAACAGGTTCAGTAGTTGATAAAGGAAGTATTAGGAAATTTTTACCTTATCTGGTAACGGGTCTACAGCATGGTTTGCAGGATATTGGTGTTAAGAGTTTAACACAATTAAGAGAGAATGTTAAATCTGGTAAAGTTAGATTTGAATTAAGAACCATGGCTGCTCAAGTCGAAGGTGGTGTACATGGATTATATACGTGAGTATTATTATTATTATCCTTTTTTATTTGTTTTTTTTTTAGTCAATTCTAATCATTAGTTTTTTAATATCCTGTTGATATTAGATATGAAAAACGTCTTTATTCTTAATTTAACTATTAATTATTATTGATTATTATTATTAATTTGGTGTCACACAACACATAATTAAAATATATTTAATATAAAAAAAATGATTTTTCGTTTTGTTATTCAGCACCATTATTAAATTGGGAATTATACATATCAGCCACCTAATTTATAAATAATAATAATAATAATAGTTAACATATATATATATGTCTTCTTATTATATATAATGAATATTAAAATATTTTACTTGATCATTAGTAGTTGCTTCTTCAGGTTTCTTATCAGTTCTTATTCTAACAAAACGTGGAAAACGTAATGAAACACCTTTAGATGGATCAGCCTAAAACATCAAAATATATAATCTTAATAATTATTTTTAGATGATATTATAATAAGAAAAAAAGTGTATAACTTTACTTGTCCTATTGCAGCTTTATATATAGGAGATTTACTAATATCTGCTGCTTTTATTTCCCAGACTTGACAAGGTTCAAACCAAACATCAGGTTTAGTTGCTTTATCATAATTATAATAACTTTTAGCTCCTTCAATTTCATGTTCCTTAAGGAATTTGTAATGAGTTTCTAAATCTGCATCAGAAAATCCTGTACCAAGCTTACAAATTGTTTGGTACTCTTCATTATCTGGATCAAAGCATGCAAGAAGAAAAGTTCCATAAAAATTGGTACGTTTTCCTCTTCCATAATCTGCACCAATAACCACAAGGTCCAAAGAATCTCCTGTTCCTGTAATATAGTCTTTTTTAAGCTAATACAATAATAACAATAACAATAATAATTATTAAAAATCTAAATAAATATTATATACATCTATATCTATATATGTATATATTACTTTTAACCAATTCCTTGACCGTTTAGAAGGTTCATAAGATGATTCAGATCCTTCATAAATTTTTATCATCAAACCTTCACAATTATTTTTAACACTCTCATCAAGAAATGATTGGATTTCCTCAGTGTTAGTTGCAATAATTTCATGTGCAAAGGCAAATTCTCCTTTGATTTCTTGAAAAGAATTATACAATAGTTCACGCCTTTCAATTAATGGTTTCTTGAGAAGTGACTGTTTACAATGGTAATATGAATTTATATTTGAGAAAAATTGAATCTAATCATTACTATTATAAATCTGATAATAATAAAATTAGTCATACCTCTCCATTTAGATATAATAGGTCAAATGCAAACAAACAAACTTTGACTTTTATGTCTGATCCTTTAACATCTTTTCTTTTCCTTGTACTTAACACTTGAAAAGGAAGAAGACAATCTTTTTCTAGATCCCATGCAACAACTTCACAATCAAGTATAAAAGATTTTATACCATGTTTTACAAACTGCAACAGATATTAAAGAAAATTGTTAAAAAAAATTTTATAATAATGACCTAATACAATAATAGTAATATAAGCAATTGAAATTACCTTAGACAATTTCTCAATTATATCAGGAAATTTCACAGAATTGTCTTCCAAATTTCTACTATAAATTTTTGCAGAACCATCATCCAATTTATGAATCTATTATATCAAAATAACATGCTAAATTAGATATAATATAATATGATTTTTATCTATCTATATATGTAAAAAAGTTAAAGACAATGATTGTAATTATTATTGCTACTATTATTATTAAATTACTAACCTGAGCACGTTCACCATCATATTTAAATTCACAAGTAAACTTATGTCCTTCAACACGATCAAGTACTTCTGTTATACTTTTAGTTGGAAATGCCAACATAGGTTTAAGTGGAATTCCTTTTTTATTATTATAAAAAAGTTTTAATAAAAACTAACATGGCATTTTGCAATTTCAATATATATATATATATATATATATATATGCATGTGTATAAATCTATATATTTATATACCTGGTGTCAATTTACAATGCTCTTCAAGTCCTTGTATCCCATGTTTTAGCAAGATTGGGACCATAATATCATAAGATGGAATTTCACTTTTTACAAAAAAAAAGTTTTTTAAAAGTAATTAAGTTGATATGTTGATAATTTTATAAAAATAATATATATATAAACCTATAAACAGCTTTAACAATGATTGGGGCATCTGCTAATAATTGAATTTTGGTAGGTGTAGGTAATTTTTCATATCCTAATAAATAGATAACATTAATATTCAAAGAAAATAATGTCAACAATAATGTAATTGCAGAGCAATATATTATTTATTAATTAACCTGGATCCTTATAAACAATTGCTTGTGCTAGTGAAATTAAAATGGTTTGTGCTGCTAATCCAATCCTAAGTTTTCCTTCAAGAGACCTGATTAAATATTTGGATTCTTCACCTTGGCAAGAAGCAAGCAATTGTCTGATTTCTCGAACTTTTCTTTCTTGCGACTAAACAGAAAGCAATGGATATTAATTTGGTAATAAATTAGAATAACCATAATAATAAATAATTACATCTTGCCCATTCATATGTGCAATCTTTTTCATAGATTTTAAGACTGATGGAATAGTTAATGGTTTTGGAGCATACAATGTTGGTTGAGTACTTTTACTATCCTAAAACCATAGAGAATGTATAAAATTTAAATTTAAGAGTTTAAATATACAACTGATTTAATTTAATTATTATTATCAATTATTATTAACCTTTGCCACTTTTCCTAAGTCACCCCATTTTGCCAACTCTTCTTTGATTGCTTGAGTTTTTCTACCAGTAGTATCTGCAATTACTTTAATTAATAAAGATTCACCAATACCTAATTCAACATTTTCATAATCTGGACCCACCTTTTTTTTTTTTAATAAAAAATTTATAGTAAGAATCAAAAAAAGATTTACCATTAGCGAGTAATGAGTCATTATAAATAACTTACTCGATTGATACACAAATATAATGAGTCTAACAAATTTTCTGGAGTATTTTCAATAATAAGCGCAAAGAGAGTAACCAAATAATCTTGTTTTTCTAGACGTTTGGTAGTTGATTCAACCATTTCAAAAGTTTTGCATAATACAGAATAAGGCACACTAATATTATGTGTTCATTTTAGAATAATGTTAAAGATTCAGCAAGCTATATATTATTAATTATAATTCAATGTGATTGATAATCTTAACAATATCTTACGGATCTCCTTTCTTCCAGTTCACACCCAAGTCTTTCCTAAAATTGATTTATTATTTAATTGCCTTCTTGTAATAGTTCATTAATTGACAACTCCTTTGTAAATGGCAGTAAAAAATTCCAAACTGACATAAGAAGAAAAAAGTTTTTCACATGATACCATATGGTTACTTACAATTCAATAAGCCTTTTTTTTGTTTCGATTTTTTCTTTTTGCTCTTCCTCTTCTGCTTCTTCCTCTTCTGCTTCTTCCTCTTCTGCTTCTTCCTCTTCTGCCTTTTCCTCTTCTGTTTCTTCTTCTGCTTCTGGCTCTGGTTCTTTTATTTCTTCTTTTGCTGATTCATTCTCTATTCTTTTTTTTGCTTTATCTATTTTTCCTTTGTCCTTTTCCTCTTCTAATTCTGATTCTTTTCTTTCCTTATCCACTCCCTCTTCCTCTTTTACCTTTTCGTCATCAACATCCATGTCTTGATTTTGCTCAACTTTTATTCTTTTATTAACCACCGATAATTCTTCATTTGAACTTTGGGTTCTTTTTTGATGCCCATCTTGTGCTTTTCCAAAAAACGCGCTAATTTGATAGAATTTATATTGTTATGTTGAAGAGATATATATGTAATACTTTGCTTATTTAAATATACAGATAAATATATAAGTGAGTTTTACCCTAGTTTTGTTTGTTTTACCATTTTTTCTCTGAAGCAAAAAGGATTTAATTTTATTTATTATTAAAACACAACACGGTATATACACAATTTAAAGATTTGCACAAAATTTCACGTGAGACAAATAAATAAAAATAAATAAATCTATAATCTATAATATCTATGTGATGATGAATGGAATCTAAAGTTTTGATTTTGTTGATTCTCGAGCTAATTTTTTGTCAAAATTTTTTCCTCGTAAAGAAGCACCACCATCAATTCTAAGTTCAGCACCTGATATCCAGCTACCAGCATCAGATGCTAAATATAAAGCAGCAGCACCTAGATCCACTTCATTGCCCATTCTATATTTTCTTGAAACAGAACTTTGATGATAGGTTTCTGTCATTTTAGTCGGGACTAAACCTGGAGCAATTAAGTTTACGTTAACACCATGTGGACTATAATCAAAATCAAAATTTGTTTAATTTTTATTTACAATGAAATTAATGTTATTATTTAATTATTATTATTGCTGCTAATACTCACGTGAGATAAGCAGCCAAATTTCTTGAAAGACCGTTTAATGCCCATTTAGATACATTATATGGTAAAGCAGTATCCTTTTGAGCAGCAACCAAACTTTCCAAATTACCTTCGCCCATGCCTATCATGTAAAGTGAACAATACTTTATTAAAATTATAATGTGCATTGTCATTTATCCACACAGAATATAGAACTTGCCAGCTGCACTGCCAATAATAATAACTTTGGAAGGATGTTGTGGAGCATTACTAGCTTTTTGGAGTAATGGTAAACATCTATTTATTAGACAAAGAAAATAGCATTATATTTCAATTTCAAGATAACAACAGTAATAAATAAACGATCAATAATAACCTACGCTATAGTTAAATAGAATACACTAACAACATTTACTTTCCAAACTGCATCCCACGAACTTTCAAGTATATTTGTTAGGGGAGCATGTGTAAAGACAGCAGAATTATTGACTAGAATATCAAGTTTACCATCCTCAATATTAGCAATTCCGTTTGCTAAGTTATCACATGCTAATTTTGATGATAGATCTGCTTGTATTGGGATACATTTCCCTCCTGATGATGATCCTATTTGATTTAGTTCTTTGGCAGCTATTTATATATAATGAATTAAATCTTTTTTTTAAAAAAGATTAATTTAAAATAATAAGTTTTAATTTTTATTTTTTACCTTCATTCAAAGTCTTTTTATTTCTCGAGGCAATATAAACTTTTGCGCCATTTTTTACAAAAGTTTTAGAAATCATTTTACCAATTCCAGTTCCACCTCCTGTTACCAAAGCTATTTTCCCTTTCAATGAGAATAAATTTGATGATGATAATTCATTCGCCATAATCGATCAAGGATTTTTATTATAATTAAATTTACTATACGATTGTTGAGTGAAAGATATAATTTGTTTTTGGGATGTAACTTTTTTTTTGAATCGTGGCTAAATCCTGTTACTGTTACAATTATTACTATTATAAAATTTTATCTTTAAAAATCCTTCTAAAATAGGTTCAGGTAATTCGCACCCTGATCGTACTTACTAAAACTGGAAATTCAATCGAGAAAAATTTTTTTTTTAATATTTCTATATTTACACATTTGTGTATTTATTTATTTGTTTGTTTATTTGTTGCGATGATTGACGCGATAATAATAAGATCCAGTGACATAATACGCGATATTAATATTATTAATATTATTAATATGCTAGGAAATTTCGTATTATTGCGATATTTTACAAGTATTCATACTGAGTGAATCATTTTATTAATGACGCGAGTTATTTTCATGTGTAGTTTAATCAATAATATGTAAAACGGTTCGAGTATAAAATATATAGAAACTTCTTTTTTTCAAATTAATAAAAAGTTCCGGAATTTTTGATCATACACGTGTCAAACAAAATACTAATTAACGCGTTGTTCCAAATTTGTAACTTTAAAAACATTTATAAATATCGCCCACCCACCGTCCTTTTTAAAAATTATTTCTTACGAAATTTTTAATAAAAAAAAAAAAAACATGAATTCAACAATTAAAATTCTTACTTCTAATACACAAAACATAATTGCAAACGTAAAAGAGACTACTAACAATAACAACGATATCAACAACAATAAAAAGGCCGTTTTAAAGAAATCACTTGTGAAAAAAATAACTAACAAGGAAAATGAAAACATCTTTGCCGCAACAATAACTACCACAAAAACAACCGCTGTTGTTAAAAAGGCTTTAAATAAACTAGAAGAAAAATCAACTGAAATCGAGGAAATAGTTGATCAATATCAACTAGATGAACCTTTGTTAAAGCCAAATCCAAGAAGATTTGTTTTATTTCCTATACAATATCATGAGGTAAGATTTTATTATTTATTTAATTAATGAATAAAATAGATTTAATTATGTTTTTTATATATCCTCAAATAATTAATCCCGACCAATATATATATATATAATAATGATAGATCTGGCAAATGTATAAGAAAGCTGAAGCATCATTTTGGACCGTTGAAGAAGTCGATTTATCAAAAGACAATCATGATTGGGAGAATAGACTTAACGATGATGAAAGATTCTTTATTTCGCATATATTGGCATTTTTTGCTGCTTCAGATGGTATTGTTAATGAGAATTTGGTGGAAAGATTTAGCAATGAAGTACAAATTCCTGAAGCACGTTGCTTCTATGGATTTCAAATAATGATTGAAAACATACATTCGGAAATGTATTCTCTTCTTATCGATTCTTATATAAAAGATCCTGTGCAGAAAGAATATTTATTTGATGCTTTTGAAACCAGTTAGTAATACTCATAATATAAATGTGATTTATATAAACATACACATGCTAATTAAACATAAATATCTCTTATAAAATATAGTACCATGTATTAAAAAGAAAGCTGAATGGGCATTGAGATGGATATGCGATCAGAAATCATCGTTTGCGGAAAGGCTTGTAGCATTTGCAGCAGTCGAAGGAATATTTTTTTCTGGGGCATTTGCTTCTATTTTCTGGCTGAAGAAAAGAGGAATGATGCCAGGTTTAACATTCTCCAACGAGTTGATTTCCAGAGATGAAGGACTCCACACTGATTTTGCATGTTTATTGTTTAATCATTTGAAAAATCGAATATCTCAACAACTCGTTACAAAAATTATCACTGAAGCGGTTATTATTGAACAAGAATTTTTGACCGATGCATTACCATGCAATCTCATTGGTATGAACGCAACGCTAATGAAACGTTACATAGAATTCGTTGCAGATAGGTTATTAGTGTCATTGAATTGTCCTAAATATTATAAATCAGAAAATCCTTTTGATTTTATGGACTTGATTAGTTTGCAGGGTAAAACTAATTTCTTTGAAAAACGTGTATCGGAATATCAAAAGGCTGGTGTTATGTCAAATGGTGATCCTTCAGAAAATATTTTTACACTTGATGCTGATTTCTAAACATATATTTATAAATATGTATGTACGTGTTTGATATTTACAAATTTCAATTTATCTTTTTAATAATTGTTTTAATAAATACATATAAATAAATATGTTAATAATGTACACAAATACACATCCACCCATCAAGCTGTCACATCTGATTCATTGTTTTTAAAATCTTCAACTGTGCTTCTTAGTAATGAAGTTACTTTATGAATATTTTTACGATATTTTGCTGAAATGGGCACAACGATAAATTGTTGGTCAAGCTGTTTTTCAATTTCTTTAACTTTTGATTCAAGTATTGGCAGATTTTTTTTAGCTACTTCGGTGACATCAGCTTTATTGGCTATGATCAGCGAAGGACGTTTTGTTAGAACACTATTATATAATTCCAATTCATTTTGTAAAATAGTTAAATCATTCCATGGACTTTCGCCAGACAAATCTATCACATACACCAAAACTTTTGATCTTTCCACGTGTCGTAAAAACGAATGACCCAAACCAATATTTTTATGTGCGCCACGAATTAAACCAGGAATGTCGGCAATGGTCAATTGAAATTTGTCATTATAATCAACAGTTCCGATATAGGGATTAAGCGTTGTGAAAGGATAAGCAGCTATTTTTGGATGTGCATTGGAGACAGCAGTGAGGAATGTGCTTTTACCAGCATTAGGCAAACCTACAAGACCCGCATCCGCTATTGTTTTAAGTTCCAATTCTAAATATTTGACTTGACCTCGTTGACCACGTGTTGCAAACTTGGGCGAGCGATTCGCGCTTGTTAAAAAATGTGGATTTCCTTTACCGCCCGAGCCGCCTTGTGCAACTACATGTTGAACATTTGGAGTCGAGACGTCTAGATACAATTTATCGTTGAGTTTTTTTTTCTTACGAGATTCTGATTGGAGTAATTTCTCTGCTTCCAAGAAAAAAGAGCCTAAAGGATTTTGTGTTTCATAGCGAGGATAATGCACCCATATATCAGCTCTTTTTCGTGCAAGTGAAGCTTCCTCGTCAAGTTTTTTATCATCCTCATTAATAATATTATTATCGTCGTCGTCATCATTGCTAGAGAGTTTTCTCTGTGGAGGATCAACCTCTTTTACGATTGTTCCTAAAGGTATGTTTATCATTACGTCTTTTCCAGATAATCCGTGCCTTAAACGACCTTTACCGGGACCTCCGCTGCCACCTTTTATATTTTTGGGAACGGTATGTAGTGATGAATGATTTGATGATGCAACAAAAATCACATTACCACCTCTACCACCATTACCACCATCAGGTGGGCCTTTGTCAACATATTTTTCACGATGAAATGATATACACCCATCACCACCCCTACCACCATTGATAGTGATACGCATAAAATCAATAAATTGTCTTGTCTTGTAACATATTTTTTTGAATAAAAAGAAATTATTACACAATTATGCTGTATAAGTATATTATGCGATATATGGTATTTATATCTACGTTATTTGTTACTACTATGAAATATTGAATTGGTCGTGTTAGAACAAACCTTATCTCTTAATTTGTATTGTACACTTTGATTACGAACTTTAAGAATCTGTTCTGGTAATGAAGTGGGAATATTTTTTACAATCATGATTATTAAAGAAATTGTGTCACCGTAAAATGGTGTGATACAAATTTAAACGTTTTTCAGATCGAATCCCAAATCCAAGGGATTTATTGTAACATGCTAGGTAATGTAAAAAAAATGGCGTCTGAAGTAATATGCCAGATAAATGTCACAGGGATTAAAAGAGATATTTGATGTATGAAATACTACTACTACACGAGTAAAAAATAATAGTAACAGCAATAGTAACAGAATAGTAACATAAAGATAATAATTGTCTGATGTATGATATAAAAAAAAAAATAAAGAATGATAAGTATTAAAAACCTTTTCAGGTATAATTTTAAATCGTGAATATGCCGATTTGTGTTGGCAGTATAGCATGATCAATATACATCATACCAGATCAGATTAAATGGATGCATGAACCCATTGTCATAAATAAATTTTTTTTTTTTTGATAAATTTATTAGAATAAAAATTTATAATGATTGCCAAATTAATTATTTTTTAGTTTTCGATGATGATGGTTGTTGATATTTTTTTTCAATGTTCATTAATCTTAACTCTTTTACAAAACTATCTCCCCAATACTCGGCGGTGTATTTTGTAACATAACGATATAGTTTTTGAAAATTAGAAATTCGTAAATCTTCAGGCATAGTAACAGCTTCATTAATTGCATTGGCAAGCCCTTCGGTGTTCCAAGGATTAACGATAATTGAGCCTTATTTTTGAAAATGAATAAAAATATAAAAATAGCGTTAATTATCATTATTGCGAGGTAATTTTTTTTTAAAAAAAAATCATATATATTTAAGATATACCATTTAACGATTGCGCAGCACCAGCAAATTCACTTAGAATTAAAACACCATGTCTTTGTTGTTGACAAGCAACATACTCGTAAGAAACCAAATTCATACCATCCCTTGTAGAACTGACCAAACAAGCATCAGAAACAGCATACAAAGCAACCAATTCCTCGAAGGGAATAGTTTTATGCATGAAATGTATTGGCATGAACTCTACAGTACCAAATTTACCATTTATTCTACCAACTAATTCATTAACAACAGCTCTTAAATTTTGATATTCTTCAACATCTTGTCTTGAGGGTACAGCTACTTGTACCAACACCACTTTGCCTATCCAGTCTGGATTTTTGCTTAAAAATACTTCAAGCGCGTGTAGTTTATGAGGAACACCTTTTATATAATCAAGTCTATCGACTCCTACTATAACTTTTACGCCTTTGAATCTTTCTTCTAGAGCTTTGATACGTTGTTGAATTTTTGGTTGCTTCAATCCCTATAATAATAATCATTAATATTAACAACGATGATAACAATAATAATATTTAATGTTTAACATAAACTTACTTCAGCGAACCTGTCAGGATCAATTCCTACTGGAAAAGTTCCAACATGAACATGTCTACCTTCAAAGTCAATCCTATTTGGCATAGCATTTAATTCTAATATTCGTGTACACGATGATAAAAAATGTCTAGCATAATCATATGTATGAAATCCAATCAAATCAGAATTCAATACACCATCAAGTACTTCTTTTCTTACAGGCAAAATTCTATTAAAGAGAATAATAGGAATGAATGTAAATTAATTAGATGATATGATATCGATGAATGGATGGATAGATAAATAAAACTTTCAAACGAATACCTGTAGATTTCGCTACTTGGAAAAGGGGTATGTAAAAAAAATCCAATTTTAATATTTGGTTTGCTCTTACCAACTTTCTCTCTTAACATACGTGGTAGCAACATAAAATGATAATCCTGTACCCAGACCAAATCACCATCTTTAACAACATTACTTATGGCCTCAGCAAATAAATTATTAACAGTTTGATAAGAGTTCCAATTTTCTTGATCAAACGAGATTTCACCAGGATGATAATGAAATAATGGCCACAAGATAGAATTGGAAAATCCATTGTAATGTCCATCTGCTATATCGTCGTCAACAAATACAGGTGAACATGAAAGACTATTTAAATGCTTGGTAACAGCTTCTCGATCTTCAGTAGGTATATTAATACCTAAGATAAACATATATATGTTTGTGCATTTATTTATGTATACAGTATTTGTTTGTTTATAAATTATAATAATTGGTGAATTGATGAAATACATATAAAATAAAGTACAATTCAAACTTATTTTAAACTAACCCGGCCAACCAATCCAAGTAAAAGACATCATTTTCTTTAGACCGCTTAAAGCACTAACTAATCCACCAGAAGACATTTTATAATCATATCCATTATCAGTTTTTGTGATTGTCATTGGTAGACGATTGGAAACTACGAATAAATGTGCGTTGACGGTTTTTGACATTTTGTTAAATCAATAAAATAAAAAACTTTTATTAAAAGGACTTTGTATGTCATGGTAATTAATACAACTCATAATTTAAATAAATTGATTTACAAGTCAAGTTTCTAAATTTATCAATTATTTATATTAATTTAGTTAAAATGTTTTTAAAAATGACGTGAAAAAAAAATAATAAATAAATTATAGATAAAGAAATTAAAAAAAAAAAATCAAAAACGATCTATTTATATATTTATAAAAATTCATATAAGTATTCCTACACATCATTTAAAAAAAATTTTTATATCAAATTAAAAAAAAAAAATTAATTGTAATATTATTCTAATTGTTTTAGCCCTCCTTCCCATTATCCCTCGAGTCCCAAGTAATATAATATTTTATGAACATTTTGCAGTCTTGCCGTTGAATACACAAGTTGTCCCATCAGGACAAGGCTTTTGACTTTTGACAAATTTAGTATTACAATCTAATTCCACTAGAAAAATACTGTCGCCACTGCAGATTGATTCTGAATCTCCCGAGCAAATACCTCGACGTTTTAGTGAACCACTGTTATTCGAATTTTCCATTCTTTCAATTGCAGGAATGGAGTTTACAGCTATAATGAAAATTAGGAAAACGATATAGAATGTAAAATGATTAACTGTTGTTATAGTTTGTTTCATTTTTTTATTATTAGATTATTTATTAATTGATAAAATTCTTTTTTTGTTTTATTAGAAAAAAATTATATGAAAGTGGATGGGACGAGATTTTTTTTTAAAAAGAAAGAAAAATTGTTAAAAAATTTTTTTTGCGTTAGTCGGCTTAATAATTGAGAAATAGCTTCCAATTTAATTTAAAATTTTACTAAATTTATAACTGTATTATTTATATTTGTAACACGATATATAAAAATAAGCAAAATTAAGATTAATTAATACAGGTAATGTAAGACCATTAGCATCTTTGTGTAAAGAAGATTGTCAGTTAAAGCTGCCAAAATAGATCGGTTGGCCTTTTTTGAAAAAAAATCCAGACGATCATGGCCTCAAAATCAATAAAAAAAAAGATATATATTTCCAAAAATGGAGTTCATGTGGTTTTGGTGTATTTATTTATATATGTAATTATTATTCCATTTTACACCAAATGAATTCAAGACATGTTTAGAAGAACAAAAACATCTAAAAACAAATTAAATCAACAAGGAACTTGTTGTGGAAAAATCCAAAGAGAAATCTGGAGAGCGAGGTGTGACAGTATCATTCATACAATGAAAAGGAAATAGGATTACAAGGGGGCAGAAATGGAAGGGATAACCATAATAATTTACTAATTTTATTTAATAAAGGAGCTATAGCAATCCCATTCAAAGGCATTTTTTGTAATGGGGATACCACCATGACTGAATCAATCATTGTGCGATCACCTATTCCAAGAATAGCATGATCAACATAAAATGTTTGTTTGGTCAGGCAAGCTTCACTCAACAAAAAAATTAATTATTATTCCATTGAAACATTTTCCGGCAAGAGATTTATATATCTTTACAGCATATTAATATAAGGCACAGACACCAGTCAATCCTTTACGGTAGGCATCAATAAATCTCCAAGAATACCTTGCATATTTACGTATTTGTTCAAACAATACAGAGTCAAGAACTGTTTTTTCCAATACTTTAAAGGTGAAATCACAATTATTCCTTGTGTATTTTTTATGGCTCCCCAAAAATACTCAATGAAATTAAGTTTACAATGGAACTTGGGAAAAAGATAACTTTATGCCCACCACACCTTTCAATAATCTCTTGAATTGAAGGATACTGAAAAGCAAAATCTTGTTGTAAAGACAGAATACATGCAGCACAACAGTTACATATTCGGGAAATTCTTCTGTCAGCTGGTCACATTCTATTAAAATCATCTCTATTCCTTTTGGTTTTCCATCTTCTAAATGCTTTTTTTGAGTTTCTCCACCAGGTAATACATCCCTAAATGCTATTTATCACTACCACCAGGTCCGAGGTTCGTTCGTTTGGGTAACAATAAAAGCATCACTAGTAAAGCATGAATGACTGGTTGCATTGTCAAATGCAAAAACCCAACTGTATCTGAAAAGCTCTTTTCAAAAATAGGAATTACCTTGTTTTGAATCTGTGAAGGCATAATTTAGAATGAATAAATAAATCATTAATAAAAATACCTGTTATCACAATTTTTGCTCCATGCTTCGTCTTCATAAAATTTTAATCATCAGTTAAAAAATCACTAACATGAAGACTTAAACTGATTCTTTTTTTTTTTCTTAAAGGAATGTGGTTTTTTGGTCCCAATAAGTTTTTTGCCATCACGGACTACCATTATATGCATTTTCTTCTCCAGGTGCAAGCGTTGGTACATGATATCATCATTATATTCACTAGGGATGGGTCATAATAACTTAATTCATCAAGAAAATTTCTCGCGGCCATCTATATAAATATCTTTATGAATTTTCTGATAAATCCATCCAAGATTTTTCAGCCATACACGTATAGTTGTTTCGCTTATTTCTTTTTTTTCTTCAATTTCAATTGAAGGGAATATTTCTTAGCATATTTTTTAAATCTCTTACTTTTTTGATCAAAGATATTCCACAAGTAATCCATGAAGAAGGTCTTCATCATATACTAAACTTTTGATTTTTTGGTGTTTTTCCTCTTTCTTGAAGTTGGGAATGCGCGAATAAAACGAGCATGCCAAGTTTTGCGCCGCAATTATTTTGCTTGCATTACATGCACCATAATCTTTAATGTGCAATCTAAAAAATTAGCACATTGTTTGGATGCGTGTTTTAACACCAGGATTAATATCTCTAGAACTGATAATGCTCATCCTGAAAATCCTTCAATGTAATTTTTAATTGATATATGTTTTTCTTCATTATAATAAATAAATATATAAAACAAGTCGGACACTTATTTATATCAATCAAATGACTGAGAGGACCGAAAAAAAATTTTATTGGTCAGGCAGGACCAATCGGTTGTCCTACCGGACTCGATCCCATATTTTTACCACCCCGTTAAATGTTAATTTCTTCTTTGATCAAAAATCAAAATGTCGAATTGTTTTTCATCCTTGGAAAATCTAAGCATATTATTAAACAACCTTGTTAATACCAATAAAGATGCCACACCATTAAAATATATTAACAGACTTGTAAATGATTTAACAATAATGTTGAATGAATCTGATTTTTATGATATGGAAATTAGAGTTGGAGTTGACCAAGGGATCAAAACTTTTAAAGCTCATTCCAACATTTTAAAAGCAAGATCGCCATATTTCAAAGCAGCATTGTCAAATGATTGGGTAAAAAGATCTGAAGATGGTAGTAATATTTTATTTGAAAAAGAAAATATTTCCCCAAGTATATTTGAAGTTCTTTTAACGTAAATTTAATTAAAATATTAAATTTTTTATTTATAATAATAATTAATTTTCAAACCAGTATTCTAAAATTATCATCATCATCATTATTAATAATATTATTTATTTTTTAAAAGATATATTTACAATGGAATAATTGATATAGATAACATGAATCCAAATGAAATTGTTGAACTTCTTGAAGCTTGTGATGAACTAAATTTTGATGAGTTAATTGAAGATTTACAAAACTATTTAATTAAACAAAAAGAAGAATGGATTCAACGGAATGTAGTTTATTTCTATGATTTTTCATCTAGGCACCAATCATTTATTATACTTCAAGATTATTTTAAGAAATTAATTAATGATATCCCAGAATTGATGTTAGAATTTGATGACATTTCAATAATTGACAAATCCATACTTGTATCTATATTAGAAAAAGATAACTTGGAATTGGATGAAATTAAAATTTGGGATTATATTATTCAATGGGGAATTGTACAAGTTGAAAATTTGGATGAAACAAATATTTTAGAATGGAATGAGGATGACTTCATTGAGTTAAAAAATATTTTAAAAGATATTATTCCATTAATGAGGTTTAATCAAATTTCTAAAAATGATTTTTATGATAAAATCAAACCTTATGAGAAGGTTTTTAATAAAGAACTGTATGAAGAACTACTACAATACCACCTCACTAATAAATGGCAACCAAATTTATTACTTCAAAAAGGTCCAAGGACAGAAAAAGGAAAGTTATTAAGCTTAGAAGTTAAATATTTAATTTCCAGTTGGATTGACTACAAGAATGATGATGATTTATATAATAATAAAAATGATTTGCCATACAAATTTAAATTAATACTTTGTGGATCAGAAGATGGATTTACCAGACCAATTCTTGAAAACAAATGTTATAACATTGAACAAACATTGGTTATTATGAAGATTAAAGAAACTGGAGAATTGGTTGGTGGATATAATCCAGTTTGTTGGAACTTGATAGAAAAGTCTCTAAATGATAAATATTACATCGAAACAGATCAAAGTTTTATTTTTAAGATTGATGAAAGCCAGATAAATAATTCAGTATTAAGCAGAGTACATAAACCTAAATATGCAATATATCACGATAGACGATATATTACTTTTACCGAAGATAACATAAAATTCAATGATATTTTGTTAGATTTTACTGATTTACAACTATTTAAGAGTATTACTAGTAAATTATATTGTTATTATTCATTTTATAACGATGCTCAAGAAGATTTTTATGAAAATAACTTGAACCTTGTCAAAAATAATTCGGCAGTTCATCTATTGGAGGATTTTGAAGTTTACAAAGTGGTAAAGAGAAAATAATAAAGATAATCTATAGGATTCAACTTTTTTAGCAAATAAAAGAATTTATATTAACAATGATGATTATAGAATTTATTGAATGCAAATTCATTATAACCATAATAACACATTAGAATTCTGATGTAATTTCATGTGTAATGTTAAAGTGGGATTTTCTCTTCCAGTTATCTTTTTCATTATCAGGGAGGGATGCAGTTGAAGTACATCAATATTACAGACTACACGAATCAGTAACATCTATTCGGTATTCAACAATGGTCTTTGTCAATTTTACAAAACATTTTATTGGTTAATATGTCCCTGTGCAGAGCACACGTGCGTAAATCTAACAGAAATATTGAACTATGTGCCGAGTAAGTTTATTTTGATTTTCATGTAACATTGTGTGGTTGGCTCAACATCATATAATCACACATTTCCATGCGATCTAGATAATCATAGGTCAGTTGATACAAATAATAATAATCAAATTTTTTGAATGTATCGGTATAAATTTTCCCCTTAATTAATTAGACTTTTATAATGGTTCACAAAAATATGTTAAAATATTTGACAATTGGAATTTATCTTGACATAAATAAACACTAATATCATAAATACCAGAATATCACATGATGGCCTCGAAAATTTGCTTATTAACCTACCTTTTACGCTCTAATGAAAAAATTCCTCATGATTTTGGTATAGATACTTTTTTTAAACCCCTGACCTAACCCTAACCTCGAAATTGGCTTAATGTCATCCATCGATCAAATCAGGTGCATTCAGGCCAGAATTATTTGATTACATAATTGTTGATGACTTCATTTCACATAAGACAAACGAGTGTAATATCGTTAGCGTTAATGCCTTACTAAAAAGATTATAACCATTTCATATGATTTATACTAATAAAGTGGCTTAACTTGCATGATCTTGCATGATCTTTAAAAATTTCCCGATACAGTATTAATATAACAGAGTTCTTCTCAATTTGTGTCAATTTTATAACGAAAACGGTAACTTTTAATGATTAGTGATCATTTTAATCATTTACGGGGGTTGATTACTTGTGATGATGAATAAAATGATAATAATACTGATTTGGACTCTAGGTATTCCAATGTTTGACAAGTGCAAGCTCTACACAGCGACCTAAAGATGAGCAGTTACGTGCAACTGGTGCTTCCCTTTTACAAATTTTTTTAAATCTCCAGAGATATTATAGTGATGATGGGATTGACTAAAAAAATTCCGATGTGATCAAGGAAACCTCCATCTAAAAACAGTCCACACACAAACTCTATTTTTCGGTTCGCGTAACCACCAGGTTACGTTTTTGAAATGATTTTTATTATAACCAATTTTATTTCATATGATTGAATAATATTAAAGCGCGGTAGATTTTTTTATTATAGAATTATTTGCTTTTTCGACTATTTGGACTAAAGAGTGGTTTACTACGTTTGTTTTTGCCGTAATAGTAATAAAATTCATTATCAGTTGATAGATTTAACATATCCTCTTGTTCACATTGTTCACATCTCATATTCGAACAGCCCATATGAATAGTATGAAATTTCCATCTTACTTTGACAATTTAATTTATCATTGACTTTTATTTTTAAAATAATTTCGAGAACTCATTTGTTAAATTCCTAAGAATCCCACAAGTATATTGAATACCATCTAAAATCTACTTAATCTAGTAGTAGATACTTCATGATTATGTTTTACATAACTCGCCATTTATCACATTTTCCACATCGCACAACCATACCAACATTTTTTGTATATTGCGCTCTAGGACTAAATCCCATTCTAAAAAATCTTCAATAGTTACATTTCTTTACAAGAATACCTTCATCGAATAAAATAGAATTTTTATGTTTTACAATTAAGTAAATAATTGGCATCTTGATTGCGCAAAAGTACTATTACTATTAGCGATCAGAGTTCGTCAAATTTACAAAATAAAAGGCGGGTCACGGGTCATTTTCAAAATCCTAGTGTTACGCGAACCGAAAAATCCGGAAGTATATCAACTTGCTTGTTGAAGGCGTAACTTTAGAAGAGTATGAACGTCATGATGATATGCTTACAGTTGGTGCTCGAATTAATTTTTGGCAAAAAAACTTCACTATATCATTATATGGAGAGTTTATATTAAAAATCATTATATTGAGCTGAATTTATATATTATATCATATGATTCACTATATAGTAGGTTCACTATACCGAAGCATAATGGACATCCTATTTATCACAAAGTGACAAAATTGAACGTCGATCTTTTTTATATTGTGAAACAGAAATTTCAATTATTTTAAAGTAAAAAAAGAAGAGGAATATCGGTACAAAAAAACCAATGCACCTTGCATATTATTTTTTTATATTGATAAGTTGTTTATTCTTTTCTTTATGTTTGGGCAAAATAAGATCATCAGATCTTGGTCCTATCAAAAACTAGATGAGAAACAAAATTTTTAAGGCACATAACATAATAATAGTAGCATAGCAGGTCATAAGTAACATGACTAAAATACATTGTAACAACAAAGAATGTTTTGCAAGAACATACCTTCCTTTGAAAACTTTGCTTGGTTAAAAAATAAACCAGTTAATCCAGCAGATTGCAAAATCTAAATCAGAGGTAAAAATTCCAAAAAGTATACATATTTTTTACCAAAGTGCGCAAAAATTAATGATTCAATTACATTTCTTATTCTTTTTCATTTATTTCTTTAGACATAAATGTAATTGTGCTAGAGCAACACATACATACATATTATTTATTACATATTGGGATAATAATAAGTACACTAATAAAAAAGTTATTTATACATGATTGACTCGAGACACAAAAGGTAGTCATAAATGTATACATATATATTATTTTTTTTTTATTACATATCAGAAAGTACACACTAATAAAAAACGTTATTTATACATGGATGCTGTATGATTGACTTGAGACATAAAAGGTAGTCGTAAATGTATTATTTTTTACATACTAATAAAAAACGTTATTTATGATTGATAGATGTTGGCCTTGTTTCTATTGTCCACGCCTCAAGTAAGATAAATAAAAATTTGCTTCCAATATATACTTGATAAAACTTGCACACTTTTTTATAAATTGGTTAAATGTTGGGTTAGCAAGATACACGCAAGAATTTATTTAGTTGGAGCTTCATTAAAAAATAAAATTCAATTACCGAAGTGTTGCACAAAGTCATTAATGATTAATAAAACAAAATATAAACAACGCACAAACGAACTAGAAGACTAGATAAACCTGTTCAATTCAAATAGAATGAGTATTTGGAAAATAGTAAAGAAAAGGGGCTGGACCTAAAAATAATACATTCGGAAAGTTTTAATTAAAGAATGGAAATAAAGAAAGAATTGAATACCGAAAGGATAAGTAGGATCATTGATGGAAGAACAATTGCAATAATGCAAGAAGAAAGAAACGTCAAAACAAGTGATTGTTATAAGATCAAAGTTTTGCAAAACAAAGTCTAGAAAAAAAGAGACTGTTATAAAGAAAATTACAATGAATTAGGAAATGTAAAATGCCGATAAAGAATAACTGTAATTAAATAGCAGGAAAGAATTTTTTTAAGCATTAATGTGGAACACCATGTTTGAATTAAAAAAAGAGCTAAGACGTTAGAAGAAACATAAATGAAAGCGTAAAAAGCGAAGAAATTAATTTTTGTTTCGTGGGAACATTTGAAAATTTCTACTTGCGAACAAAACAATTTGTTAATCTCTCTATTGTTAATTATCTTAGTGATTAATTTCGTATATAATCTTTGTCGTTAATTATCTTGGTGATTAATTTCATATATTATCTATCGTTAATTATCTTGGTAATTAATTTCGATGATGCTAAATATCGTAAGATAATTATCAAAAATTATCTTATTTTGTTAATTTTCGATTTTTTTATTGAGATAAATATCGATAAATAATGTATCTCAATATTTATCTCCTAAAAAAATTTCCTGATATGAAAAGAAAAATAGACTCCCCTTTTAAAACTAAATTGAATGATGGTGGTTTTTTTAAAATCCAATGTTTGGATCACATAATCTTTCAAAAATTTTAACTTTTAGTATAGATGATCTACACTATATCATTATTTTATTCCCATTTAAATTGGCACATATAAATCTTTTCAAATTATAATAAGCACCTATTGTGTATGAACTGTTTTATTTATTTTCGCTTCTTATGTTATAATATAAACACTATAGTTTGCATGAATCTTAAGCAACGTAAAAATTATAACCAACAATAAAAAATAAAGATAAATATAAGATGAAAGTAAAAAAAGTAAAAGAGATAAATGAAGTTATCAAAGAGCCAAAGAGCAAATACAGCCTATTTACTCTATTTTCTATTTAAAATAAAATGAAAATCAATCAACAGTTAATATTTTTTCAAAACAATTGAATGTAATAATGGTAAATGATAAGAATACTTGCCTATTTATTATTTAAAATAAATTGAAAATCAAACAGTTAATATTTTTCAAGCTTTAATAATAATAAACAATAAAAATACTTGCCTATTTATTATTTAAAATGAAAATCAATCAACAGTTGATATGTTTACAAAAACAATAGTAATGGTAGTAAATGATCAAAACACTTACCTTTTATTTATTATTTAAAATAAATGAAAATCAGCAGTTAATATTTTTCAAGAATAATATTGGCTGTAATAATGATGATCAAAATACTTACTTTCTATTTACTATTTAAAATAAAACAAAAATCAACAGTTAATATGTTTTCAAAAACAATGATATTGACTGTAATAGTGAAATGATGAAAATACTTACTTTCTATTTACTATTTAAAATAAACAAAAATCAACAATTAGTATGTTTTCAAAAACAATGATATTGACTGTAACAATAGTGAAGTGATGAAAATACTTACATTCTATTTTTTATTTAAAATAAACGAAAATCAACAATTAGTATGTTTTCAAAAACAACAATATTGACTGTAATAATAGTGAAGTGATGAAAATACTTACTTCCTATATTTATTATTTAAGATAAATGAAAATCAACAGTTAATATTTTTTCAAAAACAATGATATTGACTTAATAATAGTGAAATGATGAGAATACTTACACCCTATTTATATTTAAAATAAAATAAAACCAAAGTTAATATGTTTTCAAAAACAATGATATTGACTGTAAAAATAGTGAAGTGATGAAAATACTTACATCCTATTTATTATTTAAGATAAAACAAAATCAACAATTAGTATGTTTTCAAAAACAATGATATTGACTGTAATAATAGTGAAATGATGTAAATACTTACACACTATTTATTATATTTATTATTTAAAATAAAACATAAATCAACAGTTAATATGTTTTCAAAAACAATGATATTGACTGTAATAATAGTGGAATGATGAGAATACTTACAGGCTATTTATTATTTAAAATAAAACAAAAATCAACAGTTAATATGTAAAAACAATGATATTGGCTGTAATAATAGTGAAATAATGAAAATACTTACATCCTATTTATTATTTAAAATAAAACGTAAATCAGCAATTAGTATGTTTTCAAAAACAATGATATTGACTGTAATAATAGTGAAATGATGAAAATACTTACTTTCTATTTATATTTAAAATAAACAAAAATCAACAGTTAATATGTTTTCAAAAACAATGATATTGACTGTAATAATAGTGAAATTATGAAAAAATACTTACAGGCTATTTATTATTTAAAATAAAACAAAAATCAACAGTTAATATGTTTTCAAAAACAATGATATTGGCTGTAATAATAGTGGAATGATGAAAATACTTACCCACTACCATTATTTAAAATAAAATGAAAACCAAAGTTAATATGTTTTCAAAAACAATGATATTGACTATATATAATAATAGTAACTTACTGCTCTAATTATTATTTAGAATAAATGAAACCAATAATTAATATGTTTTCAAAAACAATGATATTGATTGTAATAGTAGTACAAAAATACTTACGGAACTATTTATTATTTAAAATCAAATGAAACCCAATAGTCAGTATTTTTTCAAAAACAATGATATCGAATATAATAGTATTTATTGTAAAGTAAATATAATAATAAATGAAGTACTTCGCTTCACCAAATTATTGTTATGAGTTGGGCTTGCTAAAGCCACAACAGCAAAGATAATCAAAAAGAGAAGAGAAATATTGAATTTCATTTTGATTTATTCGGATAATTTTTGTCAAGTTTTCACTTTTTCTTGATTTTCAAATTGTATAGGATTACTGTAAAAGTATTTATAAAAAAAAAAATGAAAGTGAATTTTGTATGCAGTTTTTATTGAAATTAGGATTTAATGCTGACTTGCTGGTCGAAATACCCTAATTCCGAATCAAATCTTTTTATTTCTATTTATATCTTTATTCATTTATTCCATAATCGTGTAGTTTTCCGCCAAAATTCATCCGCCAATTTGAATTCCCGTGACATCCACCAAAATTAAAATATCTGAAATTAGTATTCAATTAATAAATTAAAATAATTTATTTTTTTTGAGGTTTAAAAATGTATATAACTTAAATTTGCGTAGAAATCAAATAAGTGTATCCAATCAATTTTTGTAAAAAATTAATGATCATCATTGTACTTAAAATACATGTCAAAACCAGGGCTGGCTGCGTAACTCAAATGAGTACTTGGCTAAACTGACTAAACTATTTAGTCATATGTTAAGTCAAGTTTAGTCAAGTTTAGTCAAGATGATTGTTACTAAATTAGGTTATTAACCCCTTTACGCTGCCAGCCCTGAGTCGAACCCTCGTTTCTAGGGATGGGCGGTTCAGCGAAGCCGGTTTATTAAAAAAAACCACACCCGGTGTAACCTGTTTATTACACACATTTCTGTAATTCTGATTACACACATTTAAAAAAACAATTTCTGGAAAATTCCAGATAGTGAAGAAATAATTATTTCAAAACAAGGACTAAAATTGGGAAAAAGCAGAGAGGAATGAACTTTACAAATAACATCAAAATGGTGACCCTCTGGAGTTAATGAATATTTAGAAGAATTTAAGAGTATGGCAAGATGACGAAATAGAATTACTCACTGTTGAAGGGGGTCCAGAAGCACAGTTGGGGGCGATTCTAGCAAAAAACATTGATATGAATTCAAGACATTTTGAAGATAAGGTAAAAGAAATTGTAGATAAATTTGAAGAAGCAAATAAATTTGTCAACTTTTGTGCATTTATAAATGTTATTTACATTTTTTTATCTACTTTGATGTGCACAGGATTATTTGTATGAGGTCTGAAAAAGCAAAACTTCTGTTTCTACTACCACCACCACTCTAAAGACTAGTGCCGTAAATTATGGTGATGGTAGTAATTGTATTTATGGCATAAAAAAGTGGTTGCAATTACCTTTGTGACCACTTTTGCAACCATACTTTTTCTTTTTTTGGATTATGGCACTAGTCTTTACACCACTCAAATGGCACAAGTTGCTGCAGCATGCTTTCATATGTAAAGTCACACACATTCTTTTTTCCTCTAATCTTTTTGAATTACTTGTATGATAACTTTACTGATATTGTTTGGTTTGTTCCTAGAATTGGTAAATTACATTTACATTTGTGAATGAAAATGGAAAACATAAACATTTATCTGAAATTGAGTATGCATTATACATGACTGCAACAATACTCAATGATGTATTTAGTGATGTTTTGGACATTTTGGAGCTTCAGTAGTAAGACCATCATTATCATATTTATACAAATAATGATACCCTATTTATGTAAATATTTACCATTTAGGGGGAGCAGTTTCTAATTCAACAACTGCAACAACTGATAGATAGAATTATTCATAAATCAAGTGATAAATAGGGTTTATATTCATGAATATCATAAGGGCACCAAACTATTAAATCAAGCGATCAACTCATGTTTTTAAGAGATTTTTTGCTGTTTTAATAATATGTAATCCCTTAATGATATTCATAATAAAAACCCTAGTGATAAAGAATTAGCACATATAGAATGTGCAAAGACACCAACTCCATTAAAAGCAGTTCAAGATCGCTCCAAATGTTTAAGGAGTATTAAATGTGTATTGGATCAATATCTTAATGAAGATATTAGTAATGGAGCAGTTCATGATTCAAAAATTCTTGGTGCTCACTTAGTTGGTGAGTTTTTCTTAATGACATTATAGACATTACCAAATGATATCTGATTAACATTTATCAATCATCACAAAGGCTCAGATGGTCAAATTATTGTTGTTGATCTAGTGATGTTACCAGCTAATAATCTGCATGCATAATTTCTAAATTTGGTAATAGATTTCTGCGTTACTTTCTTGTTATAGAAATAAAATTACCAATTTAGGTAGTAAACGGCTTAGCCGGCTAAGGATTTTTAAACAGCTAACATCATTAGATCTAGGTCATCATCAGTCAATTCAGAAATAGTTGGATCAATTAAGCAAAAAGAATCAATTGATTTAGAACAGTTGAAATTTCAAGTTAGGATACTTGAAGAAAATAAAAGAACCCTCAAATCTGATTATGACAAGGAACTAAATCAATGGAAAGAAAAACTCCATATACTTCAGGAAAAATATAAACAAACTAAAGAAGATTTGGAAAATATCAAAAGAGAAAAAAAACAAATTGATAATTTAAGTAAAGAAGTGCTCCAAGCTAAGGATGCAGAAGTGAGTAGTATTAAAAATATTCATATTGATTGGTTGAGTTTTTTTTACAAATTTCTTTCTTTATGATGCAGATTGATAGATTGAAGACAGAGTTATTAATGCAGACTGTTGAAAATGAAAAACTAAAAAATGAATTGAAAAAGGTTGAGGAGGTCACTTTAAAACAATTGAATTTATTTCAACAACACAACATCAAACCTGAGACTACATGTAATCCTATTGAAACTCTGAATCCTATTGTGGAAGCACCAACAATTACTACTAAACCAACAGAGACACAAAGCAACCCTGAAGTTCATACAAAAATTTCTAAACCCAAAGAAGTGTCCAAACCTCTACCAAAATTACAAAGGAGTCAAGATCTTTTGGAAACATCAACTACTGTTCATACCAAACGGCCTAGAGAAGAAGAAGCACCTCAGGCAACTGAAACAAAAGATAATCGAATTAAAAAACAAGCAAAAATTTCTCTTAACAAACACAGTAGTTGATTGTTTATTATTAATGTAAAATTAATTATATATAGTAAGATATTATTAATTTGCTATGTAATTTTTATGCATTCTGATGAATATTATTATTTTGGCCTTTTTAACTTTATTGTTTACTAAATAATATAAAAATTTCATATAGCAAGTTTTTATCTCTAGATATTAATTTCTTAAATTAAGCTTATTTTATTACTTATGCCAAAAAAACAACTTACAATAGAACAAAGAACTAAGGCTATTACATCAGGAAATTATTAGAGGCATAAAATAGCATTGAATGTTCCTGTTTTTTAAAAAAAGTGATAATCAACAGACCCTGTGCAAATAAACGGCATTGAAAATCAATGTTGCATAATGCATAGTAGACATTGCACAATGCAATGGTATACATACAGGATTTATTAACACAAAAAATAATTTAATTTTGACATTTTATCAAGCAATTACATTATTTTTTTCCCATCTACATAAAATGACTATTAAAAATTTCTATAAAATAGTTTTTCGTGAACCTCTCTAAAACTTATTAACCAATATCCCCCATAAAGCAATGACCATATATGAAAGCTTAAAGTATTCTACACCTTCTCATTTACTATCAAGTCTTTTAAAGCAATATTGAGAAATAATCTGAGGTTTGAAGTGAAAAAGTAATACCGTTTTTGAATAGCTGTGAATTCATGTAGAGAAGAGCTTTCGATATGAATGAGTATTCATTAGAAAGCTTTAGTGTGCACTTTCATTTTACTCTAACAACGAAGTTCCAGCTTATTATGAAAATAACGAGATATTTTAAAAAAAAACTTCATGTGACACGAATTTCGAATTTATTTTCACATATAGATCAAATTGATGTGACATGTCCTGTGACTAATAAAGAGAGTTTCGGCCGGAAACCTTAATCTGGTTAGGGTAGATGCCAATGCCCTGGTTTAAAAGAATCACCACCACCATCACCACCTAGCTTCTATGATAGTTCGGACAGTTTTGATAACAATACAGACTCAGGTTCTAATTATGAAGACTCTAATATCTGATGTGAGTTCTGAGTAGGGTAACATATAAATTAAAATTAGAATTTAACCGAAGATCACAAGTATGAAAATTTCATCTTTCATATATTAATATATCGAAAAAAATTATCGTCATGAAATAAATGAAATAATAACATTAGCATGGATATTGATGAGAAATATTACAAACTTCCACTATGCTCAAATTAATACATAATATTTAATATCAATCCTTTCATGTTTCGTAATTCAAAAATTGGTCATAAGGCAAAAAAACCGATTTCTTGCTCCCTTCCTTGTATGATTAAAATTGTTGTTTGAATTAAAAAAAGAGCTAAGACGTTAGAAGAAACATAAATGAAAGCGTAAAAAGCGAAGAAATTAATTTTTGTTTCGTGGGAACATTTGAAAATTTCTACTTGCGAACAAAACAATTTGTTAATCTCTCTATTGTTAATTATCTTAGTGATTAATTTCGTATATAATCTTTGTCGTTAATTATCTTGGTGATTAATTTCATATATTATCTATCGTTAATTATCTTGGTAATTAATTTCGATGATGCTAAATATCGTAAGATAATTATCAAAAATTATCTTATTTTGTTAATTTTCGATTTTTTTATTGAGATAAATATCGATAAATAATGTATCTCAATATTTATCTCCTAAAAAAATTTCCTGATATGAAAAGAAAAATAGACTCCCCTTTTAAAACTAAATTGAATGATGGTGGTTTTTTTAAAATCCAATGTTTGGATCACATAATCTTTCAAAAATTTTAACTTTTAGTATAGATGATCTACACTATATCATTATTTTATTCCCATTTAAATTGGCACATATAAATCTTTTCAAATTATAATAAGCACCTATTGTGTATGAACTGTTTTATTTATTTTCGCTTCTTATGTTATAATATAAACACTATAGTTTGCATGAATCTTAAGCAACGTAAAAATTATAACCAACAATAAAAAATAAAGATAAATATAAGATGAAAGTAAAAAAAGTAAAAGAGATAAATGAAGTTATCAAAGAGCCAAAGAGCAAATACAGCCTATTTACTCTATTTTCTATTTAAAATAAAATGAAAATCAATCAACAGTTAATATTTTTTCAAAACAATTGAATGTAATAATGGTAAATGATAAGAATACTTGCCTATTTATTATTTAAAATAAATTGAAAATCAAACAGTTAATATTTTTCAAGCTTTAATAATAATAAACAATAAAAATACTTGCCTATTTATTATTTAAAATGAAAATCAATCAACAGTTGATATGTTTACAAAAACAATAGTAATGGTAGTAAATGATCAAAACACTTACCTTTTATTTATTATTTAAAATAAATGAAAATCAGCAGTTAATATTTTTCAAGAATAATATTGGCTGTAATAATGATGATCAAAATACTTACTTTCTATTTACTATTTAAAATAAAACAAAAATCAACAGTTAATATGTTTTCAAAAACAATGATATTGACTGTAATAGTGAAATGATGAAAATACTTACTTTCTATTTACTATTTAAAATAAACAAAAATCAACAATTAGTATGTTTTCAAAAACAATGATATTGACTGTAACAATAGTGAAGTGATGAAAATACTTACACACTATTTATTATTTAAAATAAACGAAAATCAACAATTAGTATGTTTTCAAAAACAACAATATTGACTGTAATAATAGTGAAATGATGAAAATACTTACTTTCTATTTATTATTTAAAATAAATGAAAATCAACAGTTAATATGTTTTCAAAACAATGACATTGGCTGAAATGATGAAAATACTTACCCACTACCCATTATTTAAAATAAAACAAAAATCAACAATTAGTATGTTTTCAAAAACAATGATATTGACTGTAACAATAGTGAAGTGATGAAAATACTTACATTCTATTTTTTATTTAAAATAAACGAAAATCAACAATTAGTATGTTTTCAAAAACAACAATATTGACTGTAATAATAGTGAAGTGATGAAAATACTTACTTCCTATATTTATTATTTAAGATAAATGAAAATCAACAGTTAATATTTTTTCAAAAACAATGATATTGACTTAATAATAGTGAAATGATGAGAATACTTACACCCTATTTATATTTAAAATAAAATAAAACCAAAGTTAATATGTTTTCAAAAACAATGATATTGACTGTAAAAATAGTGAAGTGATGAAAATACTTACATCCTATTTATTATTTAAGATAAAACAAAATCAACAATTAGTATGTTTTCAAAAACAATGATATTGACTGTAATAATAGTGAAATGATGTAAATACTTACACACTATTTATTATATTTATTATTTAAAATAAAACATAAATCAACAGTTAATATGTTTTCAAAAACAATGATATTGACTGTAATAATAGTGGAATGATGAGAATACTTACAGGCTATTTATTATTTAAAATAAAACAAAAATCAACAGTTAATATGTAAAAACAATGATATTGGCTGTAATAATAGTGAAATAATGAAAATACTTACATCCTATTTATTATTTAAAATAAAACGTAAATCAGCAATTAGTATGTTTTCAAAAACAATGATATTGACTGTAATAATAGTGAAATGATGAAAATACTTACTTTCTATTTATATTTAAAATAAACAAAAATCAACAGTTAATATGTTTTCAAAAACAATGATATTGACTGTAATAATAGTGAAATTATGAAAAAATACTTACAGGCTATTTATTATTTAAAATAAAACAAAAATCAACAGTTAATATGTTTTCAAAAACAATGATATTGGCTGTAATAATAGGGAAATGACAAAAATACTTACAAGCTATTCATTATTTAAAATAAAATGAAAATCAACATTTAATATGTTTTCAAAAACAAAGATATTGACTATAATAATAATGAAATGATGAGAATACTTACCCACTACCATTATTTAAAATAAAATGAAATCAACAGTTAATATGTTTTCAAAAACAATGATATTGGCTGTAATAATAGTGGAAAGATGAAAATACTTACCCACTACCATTATTTAAAATAAAATGAAATCAACAGTTAATATGTTTTCAAAAACAATGATATTAGCTGTAATAATAGTGGAATGATGAAAACACTTACAGGCTATTTATTATTTAAAATAAAACAAAAATCAACAGTTAATATGTTTTCAAAAACAATGATATTGGCTGTAATAATAGTGGAATGATGAAAATACTTACCCACTACCATTATTTAAAATAAAATGAAAACCAAAGTTAATATGTTTTCAAAAACAATGATATTGACTATATATAATAATAGTAACTTACTGCTCTAATTATTATTTAGAATAAATGAAACCAATAATTAATATGTTTTCAAAAACAATGATATTGATTGTAATAGTAGTACAAAAATACTTACGGAACTATTTATTATTTAAAATCAAATGAAACCCAATAGTCAGTATTTTTTCAAAAACAATGATATCGAATATAATAGTATTTATTGTAAAGTAAATATAATAATAAATGAAGTACTTCGCTTCACCAAATTATTGTTATGAGTTGGGCTTGCTAAAGCCACAACAGCAAAGATAATCAAAAAGAGAAGAGAAATATTGAATTTCATTTTGATTTATTCGGATAATTTTTGTCAAGTTTTCACTTTTTCTTGATTTTCAAATTGTATAGGATTACTGTAAAAGTATTTATAAAAAAAAAAATGAAAGTGAATTTTGTATGCAGTTTTTATTGAAATTAGGATTTAATGCTGACTTGCTGGTCGAAATACCCTAATTCCGAATCAAATCTTTTTATTTCTATTTATATCTTTATTCATTTATTCCATAATCGTGTAGTTTTCCGCCAAAATTCATCCGCCAATTTGAATTCCCGTGACATCCACCAAAATTAAAATATCTGAAATTAGTATTCAATTAATAAATTAAAATAATTTATTTTTTTTGAGGTTTAAAAATGTATATAACTTAAATTTGCGTAGAAATCAAATAAGTGTATCCAATCAATTTTTGTAAAAAATTAATGATCATCATTGTACTTAAAATACATGTCAAAACCAGGGCTGGCTGCGTAACTCAAATGAGTACTTGGCTAAACTGACTAAACTATTTAGTCATATGTTAAGTCAAGTTTAGTCAAGTTTAGTCAAGATGATTGTTACTAAATTAGGTTTTTAACCCCTTTACGCTGCCACGCCCTGGTCAAAACATACTTAAAACATATCTCTATAAGAAAATTAAGTATTTAAACTTTGCATAGGGTAATTTTTGTAATAAAAAACCATTTTTTTCAATTTATGATCATTTTTATTATATAGATTTTATTATTATGTATATTTTTTGTGTTTGTTTCGTTTATATATA